CGGCAAACCCAAGCCCACCGCTCCATCCCCGCTTCCCAGCGCCTACCTTTGCCCCGGGAGCTGTACAGGAGTTTTCCTCCATGGAGAACTCTCCGTCGGCGCCCAGCGAGCTCTGAGGGCCATCCCTGCCCGCTGCCTGCTCCTCCCTGCTCCTCTGCCCGGGAGAGAGCGGCCGGTGAGCGAGGGCAGAGCGTGGCACTGACGCCTCAAACTCTACATTCTGCAAAATCTTAGCGTGGCTCTTTCAGTTCCTTTTAGCTAAGCACCTTTCATACAAGATGCCTGAAAGTGCCAAGAATTCCGGAGGACAGAGACTCGAGCAAGGTGAAAAAATGCCTTTTTCAGGAAAAACGTGCTTGGAATAAGTCACAACAGGGGCACACTGTTGGATACGGCCACGCCAGAACTACTCTTGAGGCCATTCAAGGAGGGGGCAGAGATGATGAGGGTGACGAGGGCTGGGGGGAAAGGGTGGTGGTTTTGGGACCACTGACTCAAATTCGGGAGGCGGGGCGGGGGCGGGACGACGGGACGGATGGTTTTGGGGATCGGTGGTTTTGGGGATGGGTGGTTTTGGGGACGGGTGTAACCCGTGAGGTAACTCCCAGACACCCCAACTAGATATTCTGTTAGACATTGTGTTGATAAAATGTTACTATAAACATTGTAAACAGATTTTGTGCGCCGCAACCAAGGAGCTGCTCCCTGCCTTCCTACACTCAGAACTCTCTCCAACACCCCACACCCAGAGCCCGCCCCGGCCATCCCGGTTATCCTACCGGGAATGCCAGCTCGCACAGCCTCTGGATCCAGTCGGCCGCCTCGGCACCGTCGGCGGCCAGGAGGAAGCGCCTGTCCGTGGTCTCCAGCAGGAAGGGGACGGTGTCCCTGGGGCAGGTGGCATCGCCCCCCGCCTCGGCCACGTGCACGCAGTCGCTCAGCCGGACCAGCCTCTTGCTCCCCTCGGCTTTCCGGGGTTTCTCCGCCGGCCCCGAGCCCTCCAGCAGCTCCAGGCGGGCCGTGGAGCAGGAGCTCTCCCGGTACAGGACGCCCCAGAACTTCTTCCACTTCTGCCACGGGGAGAACCCGGTGGGTTTTCTTACCCTCTCCCGGCAGTTTTTTATCGCCTTGGGGTCTGGGCGTTTGGGGTTTTGCACCTCGCCCAGGCCCGACCAGAATTTGGGGGGGGAGGTAAACTGGGGTCTAAATATCCCTGGATAAACATCCCTGATGCACAGCAAAGGCTTCTTCCAGCTGGGGAAGGTGCCAGCAGCGTCCCATCCTCATCCTCACCCAGCATCCAGATCCTCCCCTACAGCACCCAAAAGCCCTGCCCAACCCCTCCCCTGCTGCTGAAGGGCTTCCAGCTCCTTGTTGCCTCCATTTTCCCTGGAAACATCAGCTTTTAAGCAGTTCCCAGCTCTCCCCCAGGGAGCAGCAATTCGGGGCTCATGGGAAGGGGGGATGGGAGGCCCCAGTGTCAGAGGGGAAGCGGGGATAGAGGAAGTCCTGCACCAAAAACCAGCACATCCTCCATGGCAGCTCCTGCTCCGGGGCCTGCTGGGCCCCCAGGCTGTGCCAAAACACAGCTCTCTTTCCCTGGAATGTGGTGTTGGGATCCACATTGGGGTGGCCTCTGTGCTGTTCTCCACCCTCCAGTGCTGCAGGCACCGTGTGCTCCTGCCCTGCCCGCCCTGCCTGCACCCTGCCTGCCTTCCCTGCCCTTCCCATGGCATCTGGATCCCCTCTGGAGCGTGTCCACAGGGAGTGAGACCAGGGAACAGAGCTGGAGACGCCCCATGAGCTCCTTCCCCTTTGGTTGCCAAACCCTGAGTTCATCAGCCACGGAAGCAGAGAGGCTTTGGGGGTTGCATCAGTCACCCCAGCGCGGCTCTGGGGGTCACACCCGCCACCCCCTGCCTTTGGGGGGGTCACATCAGCCACCCTGGGTGAGTCTGGGGGCCACACCCATCACCCACCACAGGTTTGGGGTCACATCAGTCACCCCCCCAGCTCGTCGAGGGGGTCACATCAGTCACCTCCCTGTGGATCCCACCCTTCCTACACCCCCATATCCCACCCACCCGAGCCCCCCCTGTGCCCCCCACGCCCCCTCACCTTGCCGAAGGTCTGCTGGAGCTGGAGGTAGATCCCCCCCTGCTTCACCACCGCCTCCTCCATCCTCCCGCCTCCGGCATCCTCTGCCGTGTCCTGCCCTGTCCCCCCGTGTCCCCCGGTGTCCCACAGCTCCGGGGGGTCCCGTCCAGCCCGTGTGTGTCCCCCCCTTCCCCACTGTGCTGTGGGGGGCCGGGCGGGCTCGCCACGTGACGTGTGTGGTTTGGGTTCTGCCGCTTCCTCCGCTCGCCACGGCTTCCTGCGGGCCCCGAGAGCCCCACGAGGGGCTGGGGGGGCACTGGGGAGTCTGGCAGCTGGGGTAACTGGGAGCACTGGGAGCACTGGGAGCACTGGTGCAGGGGCACGAGGCTTGTCTGCGGGCTGGGGTAACTGGAGGCTGCTGGTGTAAGGCACTGGTGCAGGGACATGGCGGCACTGGGGGCACTGGTGTCACCGACTGGTCGCACTGGTGTCACTGCTCTCACTGGTGTCCCTGGTCACACTGGTGTCACTGGTCTTACCAGTCACACTGATGGCACTGGTCTCACTGGTGTCCCTTGTCACACTGGTGTCCCTGGTCACACTGGTGTCCCTGGGGTGTCCCTGGTCACACTGATGGCACTGGTCCCACTGATGTCATCACTGGTGTCCCTGGTCACGCTGGTGTCACTGGGGTGTCCCTGGTCACACTGGTGTCCCCGGTGTCCCTGGTCACGCTGGTGTCACTGGGGTGTCCCTGGTCACACTGGTGTCCCCGGTGTCCCTGGTCACACTGGACTCACTGGTCTGACTGGTGTCACTGATGTCACCACTGGTGTCCCTGGTCACCCTGGTGTCACTGGGGTGTCCCTGATCACACCGGTCACACTGATGGCACTGGTCTGACTGGTCTCACTGGTGTCACTGATGTCATCACTGGTGTCCCTTGTCACCCTGGTGTCCCTGGTCACCCCGGTGTCCCTGGGGTGTCCCTGGTCACACTGATGGCACTGGTCCCACTGGTCTCACTGATGCCATCACTGGTGTCCCTGGTCACACTGGTGTCCCTGGGGTGTCCCTGGTCACACTGGTCTCACTGGTCTGACTGGTGTCACTGATGTCATCACTGGTGTCCCTGGCCACGCTGGTGTCCCTGGGGTGTCCCTGGTCACACTGGTCTCACTGGTCTCACTGGTGTCCCGGTGTCCCCGGTGTCCCTGGTCTCACTGGTCTGACTGGTGTCACTGATGTCATCACTGGTGTCCCCGGTCACCCTGGTGTCCCCGGGTGTCCCCGGGGTGTCCCCGCTGTCCCCGCGGTGCGCGGCCCCTTTAACCCCCGTGTCAACAAACCCCCCCTCCCTCCGCCAGCGCCGTGACGTCACACGCGTATGCCGCGGGGCGTGGCCTCCCCAAATATTGCGGGAGGGGGGGGCGACCAAAATACGTCTCGCGCAGGCAGGCCCGGGGGGGCGTGGCTTCACCTGGGGGAGGCGTGGCTTGAGCGGGGGTGGGCGTGGCGAGTCCGTTTGGGGAGCGTTATCTGTGCATTGAAGGGGCGTGGCCCGCGCCGCCGGGTGGGCGTGGCCCGCGCCGCCGGGTGGGCGTGGCGGGGCATGCGCGGTGCGCGCGGCGGCGCGGGGCGGACGCGGCGGGCCCGGGCCCGGCGCAGCGGGGGCGGAGGCGCGAGCGGAGCATGAATGGGGCAAGATGGCGGATCATGTGCAGGTGAGGGCGGCGGGGGACAACACACGGGACCGGGGGATCCTTCCATCGTGTGCGCACACATACGGGCGGAGGGGACCTGCCCGCCACACTGCCCCCTCCTTCCCCCGCCGCTCCCCCGCGCGGCCCAGCCCAGCCCCGGCACGGCCAGGCCCGGCAGGCCCCGCGCGCGGCCCAGGCGGCGGCGGCGGCGGCGGCACGGCAGGCCCCGCGGCCCAGGCGGCCCTCCGTGTGTGTCCCCAACCCTCCGTGTGTCCCCAACCCTCCGTGTGTGTCCCCAACCCTCCGTGCGTGTCCCCAACCCTCCGTGAGTCCCCAACCCTCCGTGTGTCCCCAACCCTCCGTGCTTCCCCGGCCCACGTGTGTGCCCCAACCCTCCTGTGCGTCCCCCAACCCTCCGTGTGTCCCCCAGCTCCTGTCCAGCCTCGTGTGTGTCCCCAACCCTCCGTGTGTGTCCCCAACCTCCGTCGTCCCCGGCCCACTGTGTGCGTCCCCAACCCTCCGTGTGTCCCCAACCCTCCGTGTGTGTCCCCAACCCTCCGTGTGTCCCCAACCCTCCGTGTGTGTCCCCAACCCTCCGTGTGTGTCCCCAACCCTCCGTGTGGTCCCAGCCTCGTGCGTCCCCAGCCCTCTGTGTGTCCCCCCGGCCCTCCGTGTGTGTCCCCAACCCTCCGTGTGTGTCCCCAACCCTCCGTGCGTCCCCCCGGCCCACCGTGTGCCCCTCCAGCCCCGCCGTGTTTACCCCCGGCTCGCCCCGCCGTGTGTCCCTCCCGTCCATCCCTGTGTCCTCACCCCCCCGGCCCTCCGCGTGTCCCCCCAACCCTCCGTGCGGCCCTAACCGTGTCCTCCCCATTCCCGCCGTGTGTCCCCCGGCTCACCCACCGTGTGTCCCCCGGCCCTCTGTGTGTCCCCACAACCCTCCGTGTATCCCCCTGTGTCCCACGCCGATCCTCCGCCTGTCCCACCCTGTGTACCCCCAGTTCCCTCCCCTGTGTGTCCCCCCATCCATCCGTGTGTCCCTCCGACCCTCCGTGTGTGTCCCCCCTGTCCCCGCCGTGTCTGTGCCCCCATCCCTGCCTGCTGTGCCCCCCCCGTGTCCCCCCATCCTGTCCATGATGTCCCCCTGTCCCCACCGTGTCTCCCTCCCCTCTCCTCGTGTCCCCCCTGTCCCCTCTGTGTGTGTCCCCCATCCCTGCCATGTCCCCCCCCCAAGATCCCTTTGCCCCCTTTACAACATTCCTGGTCGGGAAATACGTGGGAAAAGGACACTCAGATCCTGCTTTTCCCCTTTGGAACCCAACACCCACACCCCATCCCTGTCCCTGTGCTGCTCTCCTGGGTTTTTTTAGAGTTGGTCCCAGTGCTGGATTCCCATCCTTGTGGGGATCCTTGGGATCCCTGGCTCTGTTGGGTTTGTTTTCCAGCTGCCTGGAAGACTTTGGAGTGCAGGTAAAGGGTTTTAAGGGGTGTTGGAGGTGAATCCCAGCGGGGAGAATTTCGTGGTGCTGGAGCCAGGAGGGCAGTCAGGGGTGGCAGTGGCTCCCAGGGGGTGTGGAGGGACCCAAAACCTCCTGAAAGGGACCCAAAAACCTTCTGCAAGGGCCCAAACCCCCCTGAGGAGCCGCTGCTGTCGCTGTGAGGGCCAGAAAAAGTAAAAATAGGTGCAGCTGGGGGTGTTTTTGCATAATATTTTGGTTGAGCTGGCGCTGGATTTGCATAGTGGCCAAAAACCTGGATAAACTGTAATGGCTGGGAGTTATTTATTATCTCTGCAACTTTTTAAATAAATATGTTCTCCACTTGCTCCCCCTGTGAACCACAAGGGTGAGCAGTTTATTAACTCAGGAGGGAAACCTGGGGAGGGTGTTGGGAAATGTTTCCTGGGTGATCCCAGGGGAGCAGAGGAATTGCCGCATTGTTAAACACGGTTTTCCTGGGAAAGAAAGTAAAAACAAACCCAAATCCTGGATTTGGTGGAGCTCTACCTTCCTGGGACCTGTGGTTTAGGCACTAAGCTGCTCCCAGACTGCTTGAAATCCTGGGTTTTCCTTGTGGGAACGTTGGGTTGAGCGAGGGGAGGCTCGAGCTGCGCGTCCAGAGTGGTTAAAGTTTAACAGCAGGGCTTTGGGAGATGTTCCACGGGAGGAAAAAGAGGGAGCTGGCGAGGAATTTAAAGCACCTGCAGCTCCAGGAGCTCCTTGAACGGGACAGATGGAGTTGAAAATGGACGTAAAATGTTGGAGGAGAAGGAATAAGGGATGCTGGTCTGTTCCCAGAGCTGAACAAGGGAAGGTTTAGGTGGGATATTGGGGAGGAATTCTTCCCTGTGAGGGTGATGAGGGGCTGGGATGGAATTCCCAGAGAAGCTGTGGCTGCCCCTGGATCCCTGGAAGTGTCCAAAGCCAGGTTGGAGCAATTGGGATGCTGGAAGGTGTCCCTGCCCATGGCAGGGGGTGGAATAGGATGAATTTGAAGTCCCTTCCACCCCAAACCACTCAGTGATTCCAGGATTTTTTCTCTCCAGGCAAAAGCTGCAGCTCTGAGTTTTCCTCCAGGGAGCAGAGTGTGACATTCCCTCCCAAACAGGGATTTTTGTGGCTGCTGGAGGTTTGTGGGTTAATTAATAAATGAGATTATTGGTGGGGGTTCTCCCCAGAGCCCATAACTCTGGATTCTGGGCACAGTTTGGGCTCAGACCCCCCCCCCGTCCCATCCCAGCAGCTGTGGGGTTATCCAGTGGTTATCCATGGGGAGATGCCCACCCTCAGAGGGCTCTTTCCATGGAATGTGCCTTGGGAGTGGGTCTTGGTTTAGTGGGAACAGGCATTTGGAACTCCTGGAGTTGCACCAAGTGTGGTGGAGCCCAGCATTCCTTTTTTAAGGGATTTGTACTTAAAAACCCCCAACCATTTTTTATGGATTTGTACTTGGTGTGATAAAACCCATACCCATTTTCAATGGATTTCTACCTGGAGTGCTGAAGCCCAATCCCATTTTTTATGGGTTTTCCCTGGAGTGATGAAGCCCAATCCCATTTTTCTGGACCCTATCCCAGCTAAAGTTCTTCACTTTTCCTTGTGGAGCAGCAGAAAAGGATAAAAGACAAACTTTTAAGGCTGTAATGAATGAGAATATCATGTTTTCATCTCCATAAAATTGGGAATTCCGAGAACTGTGAGTGATCCTTCCCCCCCGCTCCCAGTGTTTGGTGGGAATTGCGTGCCTGGAGCTGCCCGTGGTGCTTTCCCAGGGAACAAAGGATGCAGTGACAGGGATACAGGAGCAGGAGGAATCAGATGATCTGTGTGGCTGCAAAGAAAACCCCTCGAGGAAATTGTTCTACACCGACTTTTTCCACTTAAAAAAAAAAAAAAAAAAAGCTCTTTTGACCTTGCTTGGAATTGGTATTTTGGGCTTTTCCAGCTCCTGTTGGAAAGTTGAGCCTTCTGGGAGCAGAGATGGAGGGAAGCAAGGAAGTGTCATCACTCTGTGGGCAAAAATGAATCCCATTCCCACTTTTTTTTTTTTTTTCCCTTTGGAAACAGATTTCTCCCATCTTTGCCTTCTTTCACTTCCTTGTGGAGAGAAATTTGGGATACTGAGGGGTAACAGGGTGTCCTGGAGGGATTTAAATTCCATGGTGGATGTGGCACCTGGGGATGGTCATTGGTGGCCTTGGGGAATGGTTGGACTCAAGCTTGGATGTCTTTTCCTTCCCCAATCCCTGATTTTTCCATTTCTGACTTATTCCAAAGGATCTCTTTTTTTTTTTTTTTCAACCCCACTTTGGCTTTAGGAATTCCATCTTGCTCCAGAGGAAACCCTGGAGACCAGGATCCGTGATTCCCACTTGGCACCTGGGTGAAAGAGTCCCCAGTGCTGCCTGACTGCAAATCACTTCAAATTCCTTATTTGTCTTTCTTTTCCTTCAAACTTTTTCCCCTTCCCCCCCCCCCTTTGTCCCTGAAAAACTTATTAAGGACTTGGGTTTCTCTTGGAATGGCCCAAGGGAATGTTGTGGACCTGGGGAGGTGGAAACACTGGTTTGGCTAAAAATAGAGGCTGGCAGCGTTCCTTTTGCAAATGAGCCCCGTTTTAAATTTAATTATTTAAGTGATGTGCCTTTTGAAACTTTGCTGCTCGGATGCTCAGCCCCAGAGCTGTGGAATTGCCAGCTGGATTTCAGCTGGAAGCTGGAGGGATAGGGCGGGAGGGCAGGTCAGGATCCAAACTTTGGGGGGCTTAAAAGCAGTTCATGAGAGAGGTTTATTCCTGGTGCCCTCAGCCAGTGCTTGGAGGGGACTTTGGGGGTCCCAGAGGGAACCTTGGAAGTCATGAGGGAACTTCAGAGGACTGATTTTTCCATAATTCCTCATGGTTTCATTCCATCTGTGTAGGGATATCGAGGAGATGCCGGGGATTTCTGGGTGTCCTGCAGGGATATTTTCCCCAAATGTCTCTCGTTCCTTCTGGGGGCCCCATCTTTTCTTTCCCTCTTTCTAGGGGGCTCATCCTTCACCTGGCTCCTTCCACATCCCATCCCTTTGACTCCCATTTCTCCCTCTTTATTCCCACTGGCCGGGGGTGTTCGTGGCTGTGTCATCCCGGGTGTTTTGGTGGAATTCCCGCTGGAAAACTCTGTGGCCCGGTGTCACCAGGGGCAGTGTTTGTGAACACAGAGATTACAGGAGTTATAGTCCAAGGACACCCGGCTGGAAAATGCTCGCTCTGTTGTTTCTCCTCTGGCCCTTGATAATGGCTGGGAAGCCATTCCCTGTGTCCTGTCCCTCCATCCCTTGTCCCCAGTCCCTCTCCAACTCTCCTGGAGCCCCTTTAGGCCCTGGAAGGGGCTCTCAGGTCTCCCTGGATCCTTCCCTTCTCCAGGCGAACCTCCCCAGCTTTCCCAACCTGGCTCCATAATTGATATTCCTTAGACATAAAATGTTGGAGGAGAAGGAGTAAGAGATGCTGATCTGTTCCCAGAGCTGTGAGCTGAACAAGGGAAGGTTTAAATTGGATTTTGGGAAGAAGTTCTTCCCTGTGAGGGTGGGGATGGAATTCCCAGAGAAACTGTGGCTGCCCCTGGATCCCTGGAAGTGTCCCAAGGCAGGTTGGAGCAATTGGGATACTGGAAGGTGTCCCTGCCCATGGAATTGGATGATTTTAGTCTCCCTTCCATGATTCCACAACCATTCCATGATTCCACAGCACAAGTCTGGCTTTGTTGGAATTCCACCCAGTGCTGGTTTTCCTTTCGGTTCTCCGGGCACATCCCTTCCCATCCTGTGCCAGCCCAGGCCTGTGGTGCCAGCAGGATCCAGAGTGTCCCTGTTCCAGCCCCTGCTGTCTCATGCTTTGCTCCTTATCTGGCCCCCCCAGAGCTCCAGCCCAGCATAATCGTCCTGGAAATGGTATTTTTTTTATCTTGGTTGAAGGAGAAGGCGCTGCCCAAGGACTTGCTGCTCCTCACTCCGGCTCACGTCCGGCTTTCCAGCCTGGAATGAGCCTGGTTGTTCCTGCCAGTGTTAAAATGTCTTGAAAATCCAACGTTTTGCACCTGGAATGGCAGCATCTGGGCAGCTCAACTGGCTCTGCTTAATAATACAAGTTAAGGAACAAAAGGGAGCAGTTTATTGGTGAGACATTCCCAAAAGTTACCTGTGAAGGGTTTCCATTGGAGAAACGGATTTGGTTGGATTACAGCTCTCAGGAATCTAGGGAGGTGTTTTGGTTTTTGTGTGTGGGTATTTGAGCCCATTAAAATAAAAAAATAATAAGATTACCATTTACAAGCAGGAAATATTGGATGAGAACTGCCAAGTTTGGGGTTCAGCTTCCCCTCGGAGCTGCCCTCACAGGCTTTGGTGCCTCTCCTTGTGTCTTTATATGCCCCCCATCCCACAGCCCCCTCTGAGCTCCATATCCAGGGATCCCATGAGGAAGAGGATCAAGGATTCCCTGGGACAGCTGACACTGCCCAGTCAGAGGCATTAAAAATACGTTTAAATCCTGGGTGGATTCAACTTTTTGGCTTTTTTTCAGGAATTCTGCTTTTTAATGCCCACGGTGTCATTCCTCTGTGTCCCCGGTGCCAGATCTCCACACGGCACACGGGCTGTTCTCTGGGACTTTGGGAGCTGTTCCGTTGTGCTGTGTTCCCTCTGGCTCCGAGGGAGTTAACTGGGATCTGCGGGAAGGCTGGCACGGAGCAGGCACTGGCACAAACAAGGGGGTTTTGTCACAGCCACTGTCACACAAAAGCAGCCACCGAGGCACGGGAGTCGCAGGGAATCGGCGTTGGGAGGTGGGAACAAAACTGCAGGGAAAGCCCTTCCCTGGGCTCCTCCAGGAATCAGTGCACAGGGATGGGAAAATGTTACAAACTCGGGACCTTTTCAAACAGAGTTTTAGTGTGTTGTGGGCTGTGGTTCCTTGTTGTCCTGCCAGGCTGGTGGAACTGCTTCCCAGGGATTTGTGTCCAGGAGATGGGGAAGGTCCCGGAGCACCAGGAGCGGCTAGGGGAGCTCAGCCTGGAGAAAAGGAGGCTCAGGGGGGATCTTCTGGTTCCTCTCTGTGTTTCTTTTCATCTGGTGATGATCCTGGCAGCAAAAATCTCCCCCCTTGGTGTGGTTTTGGCCTGGAATTGCCGTGCTGTGTTGGGAAGGCACTCGGCTGTGCCCTGATGGGAACACAGATCCACTGGCTGATCCCAGCCAGGACTTGGATTTGCATAACAGCCTCTCCTCCAAAAATAAAGGAGGCAGTCATTATTATCCTTCTTTTCCTAACAGCACAAAACCACGCTGTGCTTGTCACACTTGACCCCTGGAACACCCCGGCGTGTGCAGGTGGAAGCACCTGGTTCTTAATCCAGCGGCACAAACCCCAGGGAATGTTTCTTATCTGACTGCAAAGGCACTTTTTTTTTTTTTTTTTTTTTTAACTAGGACACCTCAGATTTCACTGGGGGAAACCATCTGCCTGGATCAGGGCTCAGGGCAGATCTTTTCCAGTTGTCTGAGCACACAGAATCTGCTGGCTGGTTTTGTTTCCCTTCCAATGGTTTGGGGACTCGAAGGCACCGTGGTGCCCTTCAGCCCTTCCTGCCACGGGGATCTGGGGATGGAGAAGGTTTCAGGTGATCCCACTGTCCTGGCATGTTGAGCTCTAGTGGAATGTGCCCAGAGAAGCTGTGGCTGCCTCTGGATCCCTGGAAGTGTCCAAGGCCGGGTTGGAGCAACCTGGGATGGTGGGAGATGTCCCTGCCCATGGCAGGGGATGGAACGGGATGGGCTTTAAGTTCCCTTCCAACCCAGTCCAGTCTGTGATTCCATGGAAAAGGTGAAAATGGGGAGGCCAGGTGATGCTTTGTCAGGTGTGAGAGGTGGCTGGGAAATCCCTGTGCAGGGAATTCCAGGAGTTCAGTGGAAGAACCGACTCGGAGCTGAGCGCCTTTGTCCCTTTGCCATCAGCAGAGTTAAACATGTTTGTGTGTAAACACACACACACATACCTGAGGTGCTGCAGAACTCACCTGCCCCCACTTCCCCGTTCCTAAATGGAGTGTGTCCCTGTTTTCCAGAGCCTGGCCCAGCTAGAGAACCTGTGCAAGCAGCTGTATGAGACCACGGACACGGCAACGCGGCTGCAGGCGGAGAAAGCCCTGGTGGAGTTCACCAACAGCCCCGACTGCCTGAGCAAGTGCCAGCTGCTCCTCGAGAGAGGCAGTGTATGTACAACCCACCTGCTGCCCCAAATCCGCCCTGGATGGGGGCACCCAGGAGGGAAATCCCCCCCCAAGGGCTGGAGCAGGGTGTTAGTATTCCACACCTGTGCCCCCGGATGGCAGTTTGGGAGCAGCCAGTGCCCTTCCCAAAAAAAAGCTGATTTTGCTGCTGCTGTGGGGTTGGTTTAATGCCTCGTGGGCCCTGCTGGGTTCTCACAGGCTCCCACCCAGACCTGTCGGGCCTTAAGTTGAAATCCCAGCCCCGTGGGAACGAAGGAGCGGCTTCTCCATAGGGGAAAACGGCGTGTGCAGGGAGGTTCCGAGGAGGTAAAGCCAACAGGGCTCCTTCTGGAATGTTGCCTTGGAAATCTGGCCCCTGCCATAGTGTTGTCTTAATAATCCAGCAGTTTAAAACAGACGGGAAAAAAACCCCATCGTGGATCATGTGCTGTGGAATTAGTGTGGCAGAAAGGGTGGGAACGGTGCCGGCAGTAAATCCCGGAGCTTTCTCCCTGTGAAGTGGCCGCTTGGTCTTACACTTGGAATCAGCATAAATCACGTTCCAAGCGGCTTTGCCGCATGATCCTTCGGCAGGATGTGCATCCAGCTTCCCTGCTGCCAGATTGGAGCCTTGTCCATGAAGTAGGAAGTGTTTAAACTGTTGGGAAGAGTCGAGTTCTCTGGGAGGAGGGAAAGGAGATGGACGTGAAAGGCTCGGCAGACTTCCCCAAAACTTCACTTCTCGTTACATTTGAAGCCCAGTGGGTTCCAAGCAAACTTTTGATTGGAAGCTTTTCCGGTGGGAACGAGGAGCTGGTTTACCTCAGGACAAATGATGCTGTGTATTTTCAAGGAAAGGTCCTGAAGCCCAGTTTAATCCTGAGTGGGATCCGTTCTCCCTCCAAATTTGGGGTTTCTGTTCGTTCTGGGATCTGACTCCCTTCGTACCCACAGGCCTTGGGAATATTGGAATAAAGAGCTTTCCTGCATTGATCCCAAACTTTGTCCAGTCCTATATATTACAGGCAAAATGCCTGTCATTCCCTGGCTGTAACTTAGGGAGTGGGACCAGCCAGGGGGTTTAGGTGCCTGAATTCCATCAATTAGATCAGAGCTGGGTGGTCCATAAGAAATACATTTTAACCTGGGCAAGCTCTACATGTTCCTTGATGTATCTTAACACACTCCTGGGATAATTCCAGGCGTGGAATTTTAGGAAACTTCACGGATTTTGACTATTTTTGCAGTTCTGCTTCCATTGTGTTTTGCTCTTTAAGCTTTTGCTGCTTCAAGTCTAATTTGTTTTAATTTAGTGTCTATAAAAACATATAATAAATACATATAAATAATGATAATAATAACAATTCTGTATAGAATATTTAGACCAATTAAAAGAATGCTTTAAACTCAAATATTCACAGAGGAATTAGCCTTAAAATCCCTTAAAAAAATCCATTAAAACCCGGTGCTGCTCAATCTGAACTGTGCAATTAAATTCTCTTTTTTGTGTTTTGGGTTTGTTTTCTCCCTCTTCCCAGTCCTCCTACTCCCAGTTACTGGCAGCCACCTGCCTTACCAAACTGGTGTCACGCACAAACAACCCCCTGCCGCTGGAGCAGCGAATAGATATCCGTAAGTATGGAATCCTTCCCGCCAAATTCCTGGGAATACCTGGGTCTGGTGGATAAACCACTGGGATTGGACAGATTTCCTTTGGAATGGTAAAATTGCCTCTTCTGAAATCAGAACTGAAAGTCCTTTACGGGTCTCTGAAATAGTGTTTGGAGGATCAAAATCTCTCCCTGCTCTTTCTTTGGGAGTGGTGGATGGATCCTTTCCTCCAAGGAGAGAGGATTCCACCTCCTGTAAAGGGTGGTCAGGCATGGGAAGGGGTGCTGGGATCCCCATCCCGGGAATTGTCCAAAAAAAGTCTGGCTGTGGCACTTGGAGGAAAATGGTTTGTGGTTGATGGTTGGACTGGATGGTCCCAGAGGGCTTTTCCAACCTTAATTTTTAGATTTTTAATCAATTCCACGATTTTTGGCACAAACAGCTGAGGGTACCAAGAACGGATGGTACCAACAACTCAGGCTCGAGGGGTGGGACCCCCCCATTTCCAACCCCTCCAGAAGCCACAAATAAAGGGTCAACCTTTACCTCTAACCCCTTAAACTTCCTTAAAACCCCCTCCCAGCTCAGCTCCCCGTGCCATCATTCCCTGTGCTGCCGTGTTTTCCAGGGAATTATGTGCTCAACTACCTGGCCACGAGGCCGAAGCTGGCGACGTTCGTCACGCAGGCGCTGATCCAGCTCTATGCCAGGATCACCAAGCTGGGCTGGTTCGACTGCCAGAAGGACGAGTACGTCTTCAGGAACGTCATCACCGACGTCACCAGGTTCCTCCAGGTCGGATCTTGGCGTCACAACTTCCCGGGATACCGGCGGAAAGCCCGGGGAGTTCTCGCTCGGTTTGCGTTGAATTTCCGGGCCCTCCGGCCGGGGGGTTTGCTGGTGGAATTTGGGGCTTCCCAAGGACAAGCAGCTGCAAAGGACACATCACTCCTTAGAATCCAGCGTTTGGGGGAGCAGGGATTCATTTCTAGTCCTTACAGTTTAAAATTTGAGGAGAAGGAATTTATTTTTAGTTATTATATTTTAAAATTTGGGGATTTTTAGGTTCTTAGAATTTGAAATATGGGGATTTTTAGGTCTTAGAATTTGAAATTGTGGAAGCAGGGATTTATTTCTAGTTCTTACAATTTGAAATTTGGGGATTTCTAGTTCTTATAATTTCAAATTTGGAGGAGAAGTGATTAATTTCTGGTTCTTATAAATTCTTTTCAGAGTTATGGCATAACACAAAAATGCTGATTAAAATATTCAGTTAAGGAGCCTATTTTTGTTGCCTCATGTTCCTGAGCTCTTTAGAACCCTTTGCAGTATTTAAAATTAAATTCGAAATCGAATTTGAAATTAAATTTGAAATTGAAATGTAAATTAAATTTGGCATGAAATTAGAAATTAAATTAGAAATTAGATTCTGGATTGAATTCGGAATTAGATTAGAAATTAGATTCTGGATTGAATTCGGAATTAAATTAGAAATCAGATTTGAGATTGAATTAGAAATTAAATTAGAAATTAAATTTAAAATTAAATTTGAGATTAAATTAGAAATTCAATTTGGCATTCAATTTGACATTAAATTTGAAATTAAATTTGATATTTGAAATTAAATTTGAAATTAAATTCAAATTAAACTTGAGATTAAATTCTAAATTAAATTTTACATTAAATTCAAAATTCAAAATTAATTTTTAGATTAAATTTTAAATTAAATTCAAAATTAAATTCAAAATTTGGGTTTTTTGTTCCACTGATAAAACTGAAGATAAAACATTTTTAGACAAGAAGTTTTCCCAGCAGAAAGCCGAGCTTAACAAAGCCCTGAGCTGAGCCTGTGCCTGTGCTTTCCCCCCCAGGACAGTGTAGAGCACTGCATCATAGGAGTGACAATCCTGTCCCAACTAACGAATGAGATTAATCAAGTAAGTGCTACAGCCTTCCTCAGTGAAGTAAGTGTCCAATTTTCTCATTCATATTGTCGTGTCCCGCCTCCTTTGGGGTTTTCTTTGGGGTTTCTGTTGCCATGCGGGGGTTGTTTTGGGGGGGTTCCCTGCTGTGTGTGTCACTGTCCCCTCAGGGAAGGACTCTCAGAGCTCCTGTCCCGAGGAATCCTCTCATCTCACTGGCATCTCCCATCCGCTCCTGTGTTCCTGGGGGGGTTTCTGGGATGGAGTGGGAACAGAGCCAGGCTGAGGGATAAAGCCAGACCTACCCAGTGAGGACTAAGCCCTTGTGTTGTCAGTCCCTCCGTGCTGAGCAGGGAGATGAAACGGAGGAGTCAGCAAATCGGGCCAGGTTTTTGAACCATCCCTGATTTCATCCAGGAGTGCATTTCCCAGAGTTCCCAGCTCCTGGAACTCCCCCAGTTCCCTCAGCTCCTGCTGCTTTCTTGGGGCTCAGTCCCTTAAACAGGTACTTCCCAGGTTGGCTCCTTGGTTTTAGGAGGCCCTCTGAGGTTGTGCTGCCTCTTGGAAGTGGGAATGAGCGGCTTCACCTGCTGCTGTCCCAGATTACATCCTTTTTCCAACAGCAAAACCAGCTCCCCTGAAGGTCCCGAGGCAGCAGGAGGGTCACAATATCCGTGAAATCCCTGATTTTCCTGAGAAAACCAGGTGTAACCAAGTGTTTTGATTTAATACCTTGCTCAGTAACTAACCTTTAATTTTCCTGGGATATTAATCCAGGCATTGGAGGAATCCCTGAGTGGGATTTGGAGGGTGATTAAATTGTTCTCAGGACTGGAAATGGAGGAGAAGGTTTTGTCCTTCCCCAGTTCCCTCTGCTGGACTTGCTGGAGTTCAGCCCCTCTCAACTTCCCCAGCCTTAAGCTCAAATGCTTTAAATCAAATTTAAATGTTTTCTGCCTCCATTTCAGAGCCCCAAATCACTTTAATTCCTCAAGGAGGAAATCCTGCCCTGCAGATCTCCTCCTAAATCTTGATCCAGTCTTTTGATTTGCCATTTCCTGGCCTAGACTTTTGTAAAACCCAAATTTCATCTCCACAGAGGGCTGGTCCTTCACTTCCTTACAGCAAGGATGGAAACAAGTCTGGTTTTTTAAATATAAATTTATATAAATCCCTATAAGTTAGGATGTGTCTGTCAGCAAGGATGAAAAGAAGTTTGGTTTTTAAATATATATAATATTGTATAGTAGTGTATTATGATATATAAATATATCTATATATAATATAGCATTATAGATAATATTATAATATGTTATTATACAATATAATAGTATAATTTATAATGTACAATGAACTTCTCAAGTGTCACTTTTCAACCTGCACAGACTTGCCTGGAGGTGCTGAGGGACTGGAGTTCCCTGAGTTAAGCCCAGGTCCCTGATTTAAACCCAGTTCAGGGATTTAAGCCATATTCCCTGATTTAAACCAAGTTCTCTGCTTATGCCAAATTCCCTGATTTAAACGAAATTCACTGATTTAAGCCCAGTTCAGTGATTTAAACCAGATTCCCTGATTTAAGCCCTGTGACCTCATGGTGAAGGAAAAGAAAATGCTCATTTTCACCAGGCCAGAAAACAAGTGAGATTTTCCTGAAGACCCTGAAATGTGAATAGTCTGAGCTGAGCAATAATTCAGTCTGAGAACACTGGGCAGGTTTAGGTCCAGTTTTGCTCTGCACAGCACAAAGCCCGAGCTGGCTGTCACTGCTTAATCTGCTCGGAGTTCACTTCTCCTCTGTGCAGGTTCAGGAGGGGGAGTTTTCATTGCTAGGCCTTTGTCCCCGTGTGTTCCCAGCACCTCCAGGTGGGATTGGAGCCTTTGGAATTCCCAGTTCAAGCTCCCAGAGTCCCCAAGTGCCACTGCTCCCGATTTGGGAGAGGTTGAAGCGGAATTAGGAGTAAACCCAGCCCGGCAGGGAAAGGATTGGAGGTGGAAAAGCCACTGCCCAGCCAGGAATAGGAGTTTATCCATGGAATTATCCCATGCTGGCAAATCCCCCTGCTTTAGGTGGCTCTGGGGAGGGAAACCTTGCCATCCCACTGCTCCCCAGGGATCCTGCTGGTTCTGCTGCTCCCATTCCACGAGTTCTGAGCTGCTTTTCCCTCTGCCCAGGCGGATACAACCCACCCACTGACCAAGCACAGGAAAATTGCCTCTTCCTTCCGGGATTCCTCTTTATTTGACATTTTCAACCTGTCCTGCAGTTTACTGAAACAGGTGAGGAAGGGACTTGGCATCTCTGTATTGGGGGCTGAGTGGAGGGGAAACACCTTTGGGGCTGGAATTCCCTCCTGGAAGGAGCTTTCTTGTCCTGGACACTGGGTTCTGGACTTGTTTTTCCAGAAAAACTTGGGCTTATTAAGGAAATTTTATGTCTAAATAAATCAATAAATAAACCAAGTAAAACCATTAATAAATATAATAAAAATATTTAATAAATATATTTATATGTTCTATATAAGATATATATTTTATAGCTAGCTAATTTTGTATCTATATAAAACATGTATTGTATATCTATATAAAATATATATTGTGTATCTGGATGTAAAATATATATTGTGTATCTAGATATAAAGTATATATTATATATCTAGATATATATATTGTATACCTATATATTAAATGTATAGTATATCTATATATAAAAGATATATAGTATATCTCTATACTATATATACATTGTATATATATTAAAAGAGGTATGACATAGAAATCCATATTATTTAAAATCTCTATTAAATATAAATCTGTGTTATATAAAAATGAAACCAAGTTCACTGATTTGAGCCAAATTCCTTGATTTAATATTCCTTGATGTGGTATAAAAAGACATGTTATGTAAAATATATGTTATGTAAATACATAATAAAAATAAACACACTTTAAATAATAAAGGAAAAATTTGATATTTGAACCCATGATAAATATTGATAAATAAATAGCAGGGTTGGCTTGACCCCCAGAAAAGCAGGTTTTCTTTCTGCTTTTTACCCCAAACCTGCTTTTCTTTCAGCTTTTTACCTCCAAAATCCCACCTTGTGCCCCAAACGCTCCTTCCAATGGATTTAACCCGGAATAAGTTGATTTAAAGCTGGAATAAGTTGAGTTGAGTGACAATACCAAGGGTAGATGGGCTGGCCAGGAGCACAGACCACGGTGCTGTGTTGAAACTGCAGTGGCATGACCCTGAATTCCATATCACCTGAGGGGTATCCATGCTTTCCCTGCCTGGAGCAGCTCCTCATTTCCCTGGGAGGCCGTGCTGGAGCAGCAGGATTCCCTCCTGTGAGGCAGCAAACGTGTCCCTGTGTTTCACCTGAGTAGGAACTTCCTTATCTGCCAGATATCAGACCTGGCAGCTGCTCCCTGTGCGGCTCAGAGCAGCAGGAAGGGAAGTGCTGCCTGTTTATCCATCTCCTGGAAAGCCTGGAACGTGCTCGTGCCAACCCCTCCCCTAAAAACACGCCTGGTGCCTGTGCCACGCCACCCTCGTGTTGCCACCTCCTGCTTCAGCTCCAACCCTGCCCCGAAAAACTCAGCTGCCACCTGGCTTTGATTTTTTTTTTTCCTCCCCCCTCCTTTTCCTGCCTTAATCCCGTGTGTTTTCCAGGCTTCTGGGAAGAACCTGAACCTGAACGATGAAAGCCAGCATGGGCTGCTCATGCAGCTCCTCAAGCTCACCCACAACTGCCTGAACTTTGATTTCATTGGCACCTCCACAGATGAGTCCTCGGATGATCTTTGCACTGTGCAGATCCCAACCAGTTGGAGATCAGGTAACTGGGATGCAGGAATCCGCAGAATCCCAGAGGGACCTGCTCAGTCCTTCTCTGTGCTCCATAAAAACGTGTGCGTGGAATTCCACAGGGTAAATCCAGCTTTTCCTTAGTGGTAAGGGAAGGGGAGGATCACACAATTCATTGGGGTGGGGTTATCTTGACTCCCTCTACCCTTCTAGTCTTACACCTCCCAGTTCAAAGAACAGGAAACTGTGGGGTTTTTTATGTTTTTGTTATGTTTTTTTATTTTATTTTTAAATATATCAGTAACATAATTTGGCACCTGTTCTCCACATCCTCTCTGTTCTCACCAGGCACTTGCACAGATTGTGTTCCTAAAATACTTCCCTGTCGTTCTCCCTCAGTTCCAAGTGCCAGTGGGTTGGTTCCTTTATTTCTAGGAAAGGCATTTGTGTGGAAAAAACCCACAAAATCCTTTGGAAATTTTCTTGGGTTTGGGATACTTTGTGTGGCAGATCCATTGGCTTTGATGATAAATAAGCCCTGGACCTGTGGAAGGCAGTAAATGGAGGTAAAATGCTCTTTTGTATTGCAGCATTCTTGGATTCTTCGACCCTTCAGTTGTTTTTTGATCTCTATCATTCCATCCCTCCGTCATTTTCTCCTCTGGTAAGTCCAGTTTTCCTTCCAGGAAGGGTTTGTAGATTCCTGTGGGGGGAGGATTCACTGGTGGTTCAGGTGCCACAGTTTGACTTGGCTTGTGCTGAAGTGTCCAAGTGCTGCTGTTGACGGTTTTTTAGGAGCATCTGCAGGGTCTGGATTTGCCCTCAGAGCAGTTTTTGCTGCAATTCCAACCTGTTTTGGCCTCACATGGAGTCTGCCTGCTCAGTCCTGTTTCAGAGGGAAGCTCCTGCTGGATCCTAAAACCACACTAGGAGTAGTAGGTAGGAAGCCTGGGAACACCCTGAGGGATGGAATTTCTCCTTCCCTACTTTAAAACTAGGCCATGTCCCACTTGGATGAAAGGGCCAATAGCACAGCTGAACTAAAAGTTGGATTATTTATTGGGAAAAAAAAAAAGAAAAAAAAAGAAAAGATTGCCTGCCAGCCATTTATCTGCCTGAGAAATATTTCCCATAATTAAAGCTGCAAGGAAAACAAGCCCTTTGGCTACAGAGGGAAGGATTTTGTTTTCCATGGAGACACCACTGCTCGTTAATGGTGGAGGGTTATTGGCCAATTCTGAATTTAGAGCCTCAAATATTCGTGAGAGGTTTGAAGTGTGAGACTTTTTTTTGGTTAACAAGGAGCAATTTAATTCTCCTGCCTCTGTGACTGCCGGAACCAGCAGGAGTGAGCAGGGAGGCCTTGCACTGGTCCAAGGGGTGGGATTTACCTCTGGATTGGGATTGCAGGTGCTGCTCATAACTAACTGCCCCTGCTCTTCACAGTCCTCTTCACCAGCCTCTTCCTGCTGCACCCTGGAGTTTCCTCTGGATTTAAATTTCAGAGGTTTGGGTTGAGAACAAATTAATTCTGTTTCTTGTCGCTCTTTTATCCCCTGGAATACTTTCCCAAGTCTGTGTTACATTTCTCAGCATTCCCAGCCAGTCCCAGTGTATTTTCAGTTCTTCATCTGAAGGAATTCCAGCATTTTGGGAGCAGAGTTTGGAGAAAAGGAGGCCCTGATTCTGTGCTACTAGGATGGAGCTGTTCCTTTGAGTGACTCTCTCCACTGTAATCCCTTTCTACCCAAAATCACAAACCTGCAGCTGTTGTGTCACACACCAAGGAGCATCAGACCTGCCCTGAGGAGGAAGCCTGCTGCTCCTTTGGTTGTCCTAATCCCTGTTTTCCTGTTTGTGCCCTCTGCCCCTGCAGGTTTTGTCCTGCTTGGTGCAGATCGCCTCCGTTCGCAGATCCCTCTTCAACAACGCCGAGCGGGCAAAGTTCTTGTCTCATCTCGTTGATGGAGTCAAACGGATACTGGAAAACCCCCAGGTGGGTGTTGCAGGTGGAAACTGGGGCTCTGCTTCCTCTTCATCGTATTTCTCCACCAAAAACACCTCCAATATCCATGTCGTGCTTGATCATGGCCAAAGGCAGAACAACAACTTGGCAAAGGGGAGAAGGGTGCAATGTCTTGCTGCTCTCTTCCTTTTCTCGGCCAAGGAAGGTTCAGGTTAGATATTAGGTAAAATTCCTTCACTGGGAAAGTACTTTGGCACAGGACCAAGCTGCCCAGGGCAGTGGTGGAGTCACCATCCCTGCAAGTGTCCGAAACACGAGTGGACGTGGCCCTTCCTGAGCCGGTTTATTGAGTGGGAGTGGAATCCAAGGGTTGGACTTGGTGATCGTGGAGGTCTCTTCCAGCCTGTGTGGCTCTGTGGCAATCTGAGCCCCTTCCAGGTGACTGCTGAGCTGTTCCTCAGTTCCTCTCCCCTTTTCCTCCTCTCAGAGCTTGTCAGACCCCAACAACTACCACGAGTTCTGCCGATTGCTGGCGCGGTTGAAAAGCAATTACCAACTAGGAGAGCTGGTGAAGGTGGAGAACTACCCCGAGGTCATCCGGCTCATTGCCAACTTCACCGTGACCAGCCTGCAGGTACAGATGCCTTTCCTTCCCCTGTCTCCCCTTGAAACAAAAATCACACCACTCTGCTCTGTTCTCTGCCCCTTAATTCACCTCGGTTTTGCCCCAAACCCCTCTCAGAGAATCCTGTGGGGTAGCCTTGATTATCCTGAGAATTCCCGCTGAATGGAGCCCGAGCAGCCTGTGGGGGAAGGCAGAGTTGCCATGCCTCCAGAGGCTTTCCAAATCCTAGCAGAGAGAAAAAAACCCCAACCTGTTAAATCAGGCTTATTTTTAGAACTGTGTCTCACTTCACTGTTCGAAGGCAGTCTCAGGGATTGCCAGTAATAGGAATATCAAGCCATATTCCCACTGAGTTTTCCACTGGGGTATCGAGCTTGTAACCACCCCCCTGCACAGGGCAGGGTTCAGAACATGGTACAGCCCAGATAATGCCTTTGTTTGTTAAATTTGGATATCTGGAAGCAGCTTTGAGCTGCAGGGGGGGTGTGGGGAGCTGAGCAGCACGAGCTCAGCGGTGGTTGGGGACTGGAGGCTCAGCTCCATGTCCTGGGAGCTCAGGATTATCTCCCTGAGTGCTGATAATGCCCCTGAATCCAGGTGTGCACTGAAATTCCTTGTTAATTTGGCAGCCAGGCCCTTAAAGCTTTCAGATGCTGCTGTGTCCAGTGGCAGGTTCATTGTCCATGGGGAGTGGAAGGAGCTGAGCTCTGAGGTCCCTTCCAACCCAAACCTATGAAAACAACCTGGGTAAAATAATCCAGATCGTAACTCCCTGGGTTTGGTTTTTTTTTCCTTCCCTTCCCTTTCCCTCTGGAAGCACTGGGAGTTTGCTCCCAACAGTGTTCACTACCTGCTGAGCCTGTGGCAGCGCCTGGCAGCGTCCGTGCCCTACGTGAAGGCCACCGAGCCCCACATGCTGGAGACCTACACCCCTGAGGTCACCAAAGCCTACATCACATCCCGCCTGGAATCCGTGCACATCATCCTCAGGTGAGGGCAGAGGGGTGGAGCTGCTGCCCTGTGAGGAAAGGCTGAGGGAATTTGGGGTTGTTCAGCTCTGGGGTGACCGAACTGTGGCCTTCCCTACAGCAAAGATGGAGAGAGATTATTTCCAAGGGCCTGGAGTGCCAGGACAAGGGGGATTGGCTTCCCACAGACAGAGAGGATCGATTTAGGTTGAATATTAGGAAGGAATTCTTGGCTGGGTGGGTGGGGAGGCCCTGTGGCTGCCCCATCCCTGGAAGTGTCCAAGGCCAGATTGGAGCAACCTGGACTAGTGGAAGGTGTCCCTGCCCATGGCAGGAGGTGGAACCAGATGATTTTAAGGTCTCTTCCCTTCCAAACCATTCCATGTTTCCATGACTGTCACACCAGGCTCTGGTGTGTTTGCCTCTCCAGTTTTCCTTTACAAGCAGCCACAAACACGGAAGTTTCGTGAGTCACCGAAGGATTTCTGAGGGAGGCTTTACCTAAATCACACACTCTGCCTGGTTTTTAGAAGAGATTTAGGTGGGGTTTTTTTAAGCTGGTGGGGGTTGGTTGAGACCTTGCTTAATCTCAGGTGGCTGATTTGATCTGCGCCGTGTCCGACGTGCTCTGGGTAGAATTTATCTCACCCAGGATCTGCAGCGTTCCCTGCACCCCCTGAATTCCCAGCAGAGCAGGATTGCAAGGTGTGAGTCACTTCATTGTGCATCTCTGCCGTAGGATGGCACAAATTACACCTAAAAGCACCTTTTCTTTTTAATTTGGAGTGCAGGGGCAGCCCACAGGATTCCATTGTAGTGCCTGAGATCCTGTGGGATGAATTCCACCGTGTGTGTGTTTGTGTTGGATGAAAACAAAGGGTCCAATATAGGGAAATAATGCCTCTCTTAGGGAAAACTGATGGGCTGATCCCTTTTTTGTTTGTATCTTTAGAGGTTGTGGCTGCCCCATAAATGTAAAAAAACCCTGGACGAATGTTAAAAAAAAATGGGTAAATATTAAAACATCCGGATGAATGTTAAAAGACCAGGATAAACATCAAGGGTGAAAGAAGAGGTTACTCACCCCAGGTGCTGCTGGTCTTCCCACCTCACCCTCTGCTGTTCTGCTGGTTTGTGGCCACAGGGATGGTCAGATGTTGCTCTGAGTCATTTCCCACCGTGGAGGAAGCACGGACACCGTCACTGGGGTTTCCGTGTGCCCAGGAAACACCCTGTACCCAACACAACCAACCCTCTGTGGTTGGGTGGACAGTTTCTACAGTTTCTAACCTGCTTTCTCTCCGCTCAGGGATGGTCTGGAGGATCCCCTGGACGACACTGGGCTGGTGCAGCAGCAGCTGGACCAGCTCTCCACCATCGGGCGCTGCGAGTACGAGAAGACGTGCGCGCTCCTCGTGCAGCTCTTCGACCAGTCGGCCCAGTCCTACCAGGAGCTGCTGCAGAGTGCCACTGCCAGCCCCATGGATGTGGCTGTGCAGGAAGGTGAGCCCAGCTGCAGCACCCAGAGGCCCCTTTTCTTCCAGAGGGTGTCGTTCCTGGGGGAGAGGCGCGTCTGCCCCGCGCTCCCGTGGGGTGCGGGATGGTTTGGACACACAGTGTTCCTTCTGCTGTCCTGGAACTGACCCCATGCTTATTTTTAGGGGGAAATATCATGTGTTTCCTGGCCTTTTCTCTCAGAGACAAAGTCATGAGGGTGTTCCCCATGCAGCACTGCCCACCTCATCCCTCTTTACCTGAGGTGGGATGTGGGTGCTCTCCTTTGACCCTCCTCACTGGCTGGAGTTGTTGCTGTCCTACAGCTGACTCAATTGCTACTTTTTTTGGGAAATATAACACATTTCCTGGCCTGTTGTTTCAGAGACAAGTCACGAGGGTGTTCCCCAGCCAGCACTGCCATCCCTGTTTTACCTGAGGTGGGATGTGGCTGCTCCTTTGACCCTCCTCCGTGGCTGTGGGGCAGAAACCTGCAGCTGGTTGTTGGGAGTGGGATTTTTATCTGGTACCACTGCCTGGGTTTGTGGGGCTCAGCATGGTGGGGTCAGGAGTTGTTTAACACAGCAGCTCCTTTGGGGGCTCAAGGATTATTCCCCTCTCTAACACTGGATTTACTTCCTCTTCCCTGGAGGAGTTGGGTGTGACAGCACAGGTATGGGAATTGTTCCTTTTCCTTCTGAAATGGCACTGTCTGATTTAACACAGCTGTTCTTTATTTTCTTTTGGGGTTTTTTTGTGGGAAAACTCCCATCTGAAGTTCACTTCTCCACATCCCTTGGAAGAATAAATACTTGGCTGGCACGTTAAAGTGCACAGAACCTCATTTTACAAGGAAGTGACTTTCTGCAGTGGAAAAGCTCTGAATAAGGACAATCTTCCAGGGAGGCCTGGCATTCTTTTTTTCTCTCTTCTGGTAAATCCTGGAATGGTTTGGGGTTGGAAAGGACCTTAAAGCCCATCCAGTCCCACCCCCTGCCATGGGCAGAGACACCTTCCACTAGCCCAGGTTGCTCCAACCTGGCCTTGGACACTTCCAGAGATGGGGCAACCACAAAATAGCAATGCAAGCATTAAGATGGAAAGTTGTGTTGTATAAACACAACCAGAGCCTTTGTCCTTGGCACTGCACCTTCCATCAGAGACCTGGATCAACGCCAGGTCTGTCAGAGGGGGTTCCTCACCCCAGGGCCGGTAAAGTCGTGGGTAACTGAGTCATCTGGGGAGAGCCAGCCACCAGAGCAGAAAGATACTCGCCGTGTGTGCCCGGATGAGGTGCAGATCTCACGGATCTCGTGCTTCTCTGCCGGTTCTCATGTCCTCTGTTGCTTCCAGGGCGCCTGACGTGGCTCGTCTACATAATCGGGGCGGTCATTGGTGGGAGGGTGTCGTTCGCCAGCACGGACGAGCAGGATGCCATGGATGGAGAGTTGGTCTGTCGGTAGGGATGCACCCCTCGCTGCTGGAGCCCTCACCAAAACTGCCCTGCTGCCCCTGGCACCATGTTCTTCCCCTCCTTTCACCTCCAAACCCGCTGGAATTGGCAGAGGGAAGGAAAGGGTGGCGGTGCTGCCTGCGAACGTGTTCACCAAATTCGGGGGGATGGTTTGGGTTATGAGGAGCAAACTGAGAGGGGAAGAGCATGGAAAAGGGGATTGTTGGTTAAATCACCGACTAAATGCATGATGGTTCCTTGCTGGGTTGGAGGGAAAAGTCTTTTTTCGTGGTTAATAATCCGAAGTGGCTTTTGCCCATAAATAGATTATAAATATTGTAACTCCAAAGTTAAAACTTCTAACAAATGCTGGGCTTTTGGGATTGCAAATCCCTGGCCAGTGCAAGCTTTATTTGGTGGGTGTGAGAATAAAAACTTGAGTCCCACTGAATGTTTTCTGGTCCAGATCCTAATGCTCCACTTGGAAAAGGAGCTCAAGTGTGAAGGTGTGGAAGCTGAGCTGTTGGTAAACCAACAGGTCCGATCTCTGGCTTCCCGTGTGGCTCATGAATTCAAAAATGGAAATTATGAGACCCCACATGTATTTCAGTTACCTCTAGAGCCATCACAGATGATAAATGTCCATAGAAATCTGTTTATATTTGGGTTTCTTTCCTGCTTTTGCCCAAAAGAATATCCTTGGGTTTGCCCCCCAGGTGTTCTTTATCCCCTAATCCCCCTCCTCCAGCTCACGGGGTTGTTTGTGCAGGGATGGAGAAGCCTTACAACAGCTTTACACCACAGAGCAGCGTGCCCTGGGCAGTGCTTTGTCCCCAGTGTTGTGAATTCCCAACCCAAAACAACAATTCCCCCTGGAAAGCGAAAAGCCTGGAAACAGCACCACGTTCCCAGAAATCCCTCCTTGCTCCAGGTGTCCATCAGCGAGGTGTGTTTTCCCACCTGTTCCCAGGGTGCTGCAGCTGATGAACCTGACGGATTCCCGCCTGGCACAGGCTGGGAATGAGAAGCTGGAGCTGGCCATGCTGAGCTTCTTCGAGCAGTTCCGGAAGATCTATATCGGAGATCAGGTGCAGAAGTCTTCCAAGGTAATCAGTGCCCTCGGCTGGGGCTCCTTGGGGATCCAGACTCTGGTGATCCCTGCTTTTTCGGAAGGAAAACCAAGGGCTTTAATGATTTTCTCCTCTCTTTAGCTGGAAACACTTACAAGTCCCATTTGCTATGATTTCTAGGTTTGTTTCCAAGTGTTATTTTTGAGCTGTTTTGAAATACCATGTCAGGAAGGAGCCACTGGCTTTGGCTCCTTCTCAAGGAGTTGAGAACTGAAAACCATAATTCAGTTTTCCCTGAAAACCTCTGACCACCTCAGACGCCCACGAGAATCTTGAGTTTCATCTCTCTCTTGCTTCCCTGGCTCTGAAGTGGAGATAGATCTCCCTTTTCTCTTCATGCCAAGGCAACTGTAGGTGTACTGGTGCCTTGGTGCCCCTTTAGAGATGTAAAATCCTTATTTTAAATTAAAATACACGAAGGATGGGAACATCTTAACTGCAAACTGGGTTCCCTTCCTTTCTGATTGTAACCTTCCTTCCCTACCTTGTGGACTGCTGATGAGAGTTCTGGGTAAATGCACCTCCTCTGTGAGGATTCCTTGTTCTCCTGGCAGATTTTTAACCAGAAGTTGTTTCCCCCCCCCCTGCAGCTGTACCGGCGGCTCTCCGAGGTGCTGGGGCTGAACGACGAGACCATGGTCCTGAGCGTGTTCATCGGGAAAATGTAAGTGCTGCTGCCCGCAGGCACCCCAGAGCCCAGGCTCTGCTGCAAGCTCCGAAACTGCAGCGTGAGGGAGTGTTGGTCAGCCTGAAAAAAAAAAAAAACACAAAAAAAAAAAAAAAAAAAAAAAAACAAACCTAGGAACATCTGGCTCCTCGAGGGAATTACAGGCTTTTCTCAGGGCTGAGGTCACGCACCCAGGCGCCCAGGATTGGTTTATCCACCGCCGAGACACGAAAATCAGCCGCGTGCCAGGAGAACGGATTCTCTTCCCAGTAAAGGCAGAGTCAGGGAGGGGACAGCTCCCAGCACACGTTCCCTGTAGTCACTCCACGATTGGCAGCCACCAGCCACGAGAGCTCTGTGTGGGGAGGCACCGACGGCTCCTCCGAAGCTTCTCTTTGCCGTTCGGTCCCAAATCCTTCCCTTAAAAAAACTCTTCCACTCCGGTCAACACCCGATTCGGCCTCTCCTCCAGACCCCAGCCTGGCTTTTTGTCCAGCCTTGGGAGCCTTTGGAACCAATTGAGGAGCTGCCACCCAGTGCCCTGTGCCTGGTACTGAGCAGCCAAAAGCTCCCCCCTGCACTTGTTCAGCATCGCCCCCCTTTTAACCGGCACGGGGCCTTGCTCATCCCACAAACCCTGGCTGGGCAGCATTCCCGAGGGATGGAATGGCTCTCCTGGAAGAAGCAAGGGCTACTAGAATTCTGCAGCTGACAGTGGATGGTGCAGGTGCAGAATTGCATACGTCTGCATGTAGTCACTGCCGCAGAATTCTCTTACCCTTGCTGCAGAAACCAGCCCTGGAGTGCCCCAGAATTCCAAGGGCCTGGCTATGGGCCAGTGTAGCTTGGGACCCAAGTAGTGAAGATTATCTGAAGGATAATTTTCTAGTCAACCAAATGTAAGTACAGTGATTTTATACCGATATTTTGTGGCTTGTGCTGTCTGTGGTCTCGGTGGAGGGTGGAGCTGAGCATTTTTGGGGTGACTTGAACTGGAAGAATCCGCTGCCCAGCCAAGGGGAACCCGAGCAAACCCCCTCTGATCCGTCCCTGTCCTCTTCCCTCTTGCAGCATCACCAACCTGAAGTACTGGGGTCGGTGTGAGCCCATCACCTCCAAGACACTGCAGCTGCTCAACGACCTCTCCATTGGATATCCTTTTGGGAAGAGCTGCTGGGGGCACAGGGATATGAGGGAAGAGCGACCCTGGAGCGAGTCACAGATCCCTGAACCCCTTCACCTTCTGGGCAGTGAGAAAAGCAGAGAGTGTTTGCTCCACACCCGGAATGTAGATTTTTTTTTAATTTTGGATCGTGATTGCTCCGGAGCTGACCACCCACAGCCAGTTTACAGTCTGCCTTCTGCTCTTCCAGAAGCTCCAGACAGATATTTCCTGACAGAGCAAATAAATCTTGTTCACTGCAGGTCTCTCCACTGAGACCTTGGTCTCTCTTGAGACAAATGGAGAAGAATCCACAATGTCCTGAATAACACAGCCACAACCCCCATTCCAGCTTTGCCCTGGAAGTGCTTTTGTAAGGATTCCCTGCTGCTTCCTTAACCCCCCTGCACGTACAGCAGTGTGAGGAAGCTGGTGAAGCTGAGCGCTGTGCAGTTCATGCTGAACAATCACACGGTGAGTCCTCCCCTCTTCCCTCTCCCACCTGCCTTTGTGCAGCCCAGACAATCCCCAGAGGGGGACAGTTCAGCACCTGGACACGCCCTGGGAGTTTTCCTGGCTCCCAGATGCCTCCCTGGTACCGGATGAGCCTCTGGGAAGTGTGATTTGTGTTCCACCCCTGTTGGGTTCCAAGGGGTTGTGATTTTGGGGCACTTGATGGGGGAGGTCTCTGCCCTCCACTAAGGCCAGGGATCAGACCCATCCCTGGAAGTGTCCAAGGCCAGCTTGGACAGGGCTAGGAACAGCCTGGGATAGTGGGAAATGTCCCTGCCCATGGCAGGGGGTGGAACAAGATGATCCTCAAGGTCCCATCAACACAAGTCATTCCATGATTCTATCCCATGTCTCTGTGGTGCTCCAGTGCTGGAGCAATTGGACACCCAGCACCACTTCCAGAGGCTTTTCAGTGCCTGGTGGAATGAGAGGCTGCATTCCCTGTGTTAGGGGGTGTTTTTCAGGCATTCCCACATCCTGCCTTCAGCCCAGAATTCAGTCTGGAATAACTGTTTCCATGGAGAATGTGGGCAGAGTAACTGGGGAATCTGCTCTCAGAGAACTGGTTTAAAGCAGCCTGAAGGGTGCCCATCAGTAAAGGGGGGGATTCCACCTCTGCTCCAGAGGCAAAGCCAGACTTCCTGGTTCACCTGGGGCTGGGGAATTGCAGGGTTGAGGGATGGCAGCGCTGGGATTTGCTGTTCCAAGCGGTGCCTGTTGCCCTCTGGTGGCCTGTGCTCCGGGATGGCTCCAGGTAACCCTGGATCCCGCTGCTTCCCATCCAGTGCACGGCCTGGGATCAGCTGGGAGCTGGGATCCTCAGCCCCTGGCACAGGAGCCTTTTCAAGGTGATGGTTCCCTGGATTGTTAAGGTTGGAAAAGCCCTTTAAGACCGAGTTCAATGATCAACCAGCACCACCACCACCACTGTCACCGCTAAACCACGGCCCCAGGTGCCACATCCACGTGTTTTTTGAGCCCTTCCAGGGATGGGGACTCCACCACAGCCTGTTCCAATCATTTGCAGGCTTTTCCACGCAGAATTTTTTTCCTGATACCCAACCCAAACCTCCCCTGGTGCCACTGGAGGCCTTTTCCCCTTTAACCCACCTTTGTTTTCCCTCTCCAGAGTGAGCACTTTTCCTTCCTGGGCATTAACAATCAGTCCAACCTGACGGACATGAGGTGTCGGACGACGTTCTACACTGCACTGGGGCGTCTGCTCATGGTGGATTTAGGTACTGGGGGCTTTTCCTGGGAATCAGAGCAAAACCCTGGGCTTCAGAAGCTGGGCCCTGCTTGTTTAGGGAGCTGTAAGCCCCTCCAGGAAAGGAGGCTGGAGTTGGAAAACCCCCACGAAAGGAAAAGGAAGGGAAAGAAGCTCTGGGGCGGGTTTGATGCCCCGTGGCTGAGTACAGGCCACCAAAGCTGGGGCTGAATTTTTCCATCCTGATGCTCCACACGTTTCCCTGACGTGGCACAGTTTGTTCTAAGTGAGATTTTGGCAGTGGCAGATCACCTGGCTGGAGACCTCTGGTCTTCCCTGGCTCTGTGGGAGAGTCTGACGCGGGCAGAGCTGCAGGACACGGGGATGGACGTGCCATTTCTTTTCTCCTGATTTCCTGGGGCTGTTTTATCCCTCTCAGGGGAAGATGAGGATCAGTACGAGCAGTTCATGCTTCCCCTCACTGCTGCCTTTGAGACTGTGGCCCAGATGTTCAGCACAAACACCTTCAATGAGCAAGAGGCAAAAGTAAGTCGGGACATTCCCTGTTATCCCTGCTCTTTTCCTTAGGGGCCTGGATGTTTTCAGAGGGGCAGGAGGGAGCAGTCATTTGTGCAGGGTGGGAGCTGTTCTCCCCTCTGAAATACAAGCTGGAAGGGTGGGAGCTTCCCTTCCAGGGGGAAGGGGAAGAGGGGATGGCCTGTATCCCTCAGGGTCAGGTGTGGTTTGGAGTTGGAGCAGGGAGACTCACCTGCCAGCATTCCTTCTGCTGGGAATGAAATATCCCAGTGATGCCACAGCTCCTGGCACTGTCCAGGCTGGGATTGGGCTCCAGCACAGGCAGGAATTGCTGTTGGGATGAGAGGGAGGGAAGTGGAGCCAGGCAGGGATTGCTCCAGGCATGTATTTCATTTTAACATCTTTCCTTTCTCGACACAGAGAACCTTGGTGGGTTTGGTGAGAGATTTGAGGGGAATTGCCTTTGCCTTCAATGCCAAGACCAGCTTCATGATGCTCTTTGAGTGGATGTATCCTTGTGTTCCTCTGGAACTGCAGCCCCCCCCCTCCCTCTGAGGATGCCTGACTGCATCCCAATGTCCTCTTTTCCCCGTGAAATCCTGTCTGGGGTTTCTCTTCCCTTTTACAGCACTTGGTGTCCTTTCTCTGAGCCCTGAGATAGATTTGATTTGGCCTCTCTGCAACCAAGTGAACCTAAAAAGCTGCTCTGAGCTGAACTGGGGGGGATTTTCCCAGCGGGGCCTGAAGGGCTGTGACCTATAAAGCACAAAGGCTCTCGTGGGCTGCATCCCAGCAGCACCAAAAGCATTTCCTCCTGTCCCTGGAGCCTGCAGCAGTGGGATCCGTGTCCTTTGGGTGAGGAATCCGTGTCCTTTTGCTGCCCAAAGACACAGTGTCAGGCTCCAGATTTGCTGTGCCTGGTGAAGGTCAGGAGTCTGCACTGACACATCTTTTTGTGTGTGTGGCTTCCCCTTTCCTCCCAGAGCCTTTTTGGTTCTGGTTTGTCTCAGAAAAAATTGTGTGTGCAGTTAATTCCTTCGGTGGGATGATTTTTATTACCATGATCATCATATAAACAATAAATATGCAATTATATCAATAATAGAAATAACATATCATTATATAAATTATATTTTAATAATATAATATATGATGATAGTAATAATTATAGTAATAATAATAATAATAAATCAGACCCCAGCAAGCAGCATCTCTACTTAACCCTATTAACTAAGCTGCTCTGCAGGGCTTGGGTGCAGCACACAAAACGTGCCTTTTGGTGGAAATGTTGCCCTCTGTAAAGCCCAGAATTCCTTAGCTTTTCCCCTGGCAGTTACCCCTCCTACATGCCAATCCTGCAGAGAGCCATCGAGCTCTGGTACCACGACCCAGCCTGCACCACCCCCGTCCTCAAACTCATGGCTGAGCTGGTCCATAACAGGTAGGAGCTGGGATTTCATGGGATGGTTGGGGTTTTGAGGCTCGTCTCGTTCCCTTTGTGTTTCCCTGTTGCTCCCTGTGGGTGTTGCTGCCCTGTCGTGTTTTTCTCTCTTTCGATCTATTTATGCTCCAAAAGCTGCCAGGGGGACCAAGGGGGGGAAACTGGGATCGTTCCAGCAGGGCATCAAATCCCACAGATCAGATACCAGGGCTCCATCAGGCTGAGACACGATCAATAAGTGCTGGATATTTCCACTTCCAAGGGCAGCACTGGGAGGTGGGGGCAGGAATCGTGGTCCTTTTTAAAACCCGGCTTTTAGATGGGCCTCGTTCTCTCTGGCAGCCACTTTGTTCTGGAGCCTCAGCTCTGCTTTTGCCAGCAGAGAGGGACCTGTGACGCTGCTGGGATAATTCAGGAGCTGTCTAAGCTGCCACTGGAAGGTTGCCAGGATGATGCTCTGGCCCCCAGCCAGCTGAGCACAACCCTGTGGGAAGGGGCCAGCTCTTCCAGGGACATGGGGTTGGGGCACAGGCCTTGGGGACTTCTTGGGAACACATCCTGCCAGGCTGCATCTTTGCAGTGGGGCACAATCCCTGCTGGAAATCATCCAGGCATTTATTCCAGAGGTGAACTGGACAGCTGGTTGTGATTCAGCTGTTGAGACTGAGTCACTGCAGGGCAAGAAATGCCAAGCTGGGAATGGTTGGTGCTGCCGTGAATAGGGGCCAGTCAGGCAGGGCTGCAGGGCCTTCCAAGACGCTGTGTTTGGGGGCAGTGTCCCAGTGACTGCTGCCAGGGCAGGATTTCCAGCCTCAATCCCGTAATATTCCTGACATCTGAGAAATACAGGCCCTTTCTTCTGCCACAGCAGAGCTCCTCTGGCCCCAAGTGCCTGTGTCCTGTTCTGGCATCAGAATTTCCTACCAGAGCAGGGTTGGAACTCAGGGAGCATCCCTGTGCCCTGTCCCTCCATCCCTTGTCCCCAGTCCCTCTCCAGCTCTCCTGGAGCCCCTTTAGGCCCTGGAAGGGGCTCTCAGGTCTCCCTGGATCCTTCTCTCCTCCAGGTGAACCCCCCCAGCTCTCCCAGCCTGGCTCCAGAGCAGAGGGGCTCCAGCCCTGGGATGAATTTGGTGTGTCTCTAATCATTCCCTTGTGCTTCCCTCAGATCCCAGCGGCTGCAGTTTGACGTGTCCTCTCCCAATGGGATCCTGCTCTTCCGGGAGACCAGTAAAATGATCACGACCTACGGTGAGTGGCCACAGGTGGGATCCAGCAGCCTTGAGTTCCACCTCTGCCATGGGCAAGGAGACCTTCCACTAGCCCAGCTTGCTCCAACCTGGCCTTGGACACTTCCAGGGATCCAGGGGCAGCCACAGCTTCTCTGGGGCAACCTGTGCCAGGACCTCCCCACCCTCCCAGGGAGGAATTCCTTCCCAATATCCCCTCTAAGTCCCCCCTCTGTCATCTTAAGGCCATCCCCTTTGTCCTGTCACTCCATGCTCTTGTGAAAATCCCAGAAGAGCCACACTTTTCACTGGTATCAGAATCCCTAACCCTCACTTGGGGGATAAATCCTTCAGCCCCTCCTGAATGGCTCTGCTTTGGTTTTCCTGTCCCCCCTCCCGGGCGGGAAGGCTTTGGATGCTGCTGCTGGAACACTGACCCCGCTTCTGTGCCGTGCAGGGAATCGCATCCTGACGCTGGGGGAGGTCCCAAAGGATCAGGTCTATGCCCTGAAGCTCAAGGGCATCTCCATCTGCTTCTCCATGCTGAAGGCAGCGCTGAGCGGGAGCTACGTCAACTTCGGGGTGTTCCGGCTCTACGGGGACGACGCCCTGGACAACGCCCTGCAGACCTTCATCAAACTCCTGCTCTCCATCCCCCACAGCGACCTCCTGGTGAGCTGCCCCTGCCACGGGGCTGGGGACACCCAGGGGAGGCAGGGCTGGGAGATTGGGGGGGAAAAGGAACGCTGGAATTGTGGAGAGAGGTGAACTCGCGCCCCTGGAACGGGGCCAGGAGGGAACTGCAGCTCCTGGAATGGCAGCAGCGGGTCCTGTGTGAAGGCTGTTACCTCACCACCCAAATAATTCCCCAAGTTTGGGTTAGAAGGGGCCTTAGAAAGCATCCCATGGGCAGGGACACCTCCCACTATCCCAGGTTGCTCCAACCTGGCCTTGGACACTCCCAGGGATGCAGGGGCAGCCACAGCTCCTCTGGGCAGCTTCCCAGGGAAGAATTCCTTCCCAGTATCCCAGATGTTGAATTTTTGGGTGACTTGGCACTTGGCACAGACACCTGGAGAGCCAGTCCTGCCTCAGAGTCAGCTGTGGGCAGACAGCAACCGGATTTAATGGAGCAGAGTTGGGAACCTGCTGGATGGAATGGTTTTGTTGTGGGAGAAGGAAGGGCGGGAAAAATCTGTTTGCCCATAAATGTGCTGGAGGAGGAGTTGGTTTGTTCTTTCCAGGAGTTTCATTCAGCACTTTCCAGGTGATTAATAAAGGGTGGGGTCTGAAAAGCCTTAACTGATGGTTCCAGGGTAACCATGAGGGTTTAAAGCTCTTTCTCTCCTCCTTTCCCTGCAGGATTATCCCAAGCTCAGCCAGTCCTACTATTCCTTGCTGGAAGTTCTTACCCAGGACCACATGAACTTTATAGCCAGTCTGGAGCCCCATGTAATCATGTATATTCTCTCTTCCATTTCAGAAGGTCTCACTGCACTAGGTAATTCCTCCTGCTCTCTGTTGTGTTTTCAGGGGTTTGATTTGGAAGTGGAGAGGGATGAGGGATGACAAATGTGCCTTGTGAAAACAGGTGGAGGAGTTTCACCTCTGTTAAAGGTGGAATTTTGGAGAGAGGGATGGGAGAGGTTGGGCCAGGTGACCCCACCACTGGTCCCTTCCCACCTTAACCTGTGAATGTATAGAATCATGGAATCATGGAATGGTTTGGGTGGGAAAGGACCTTAAAGCCCATCCAGTCCCACCCCCTGCCACGGGCAGGGACACCTCCCACTAGACCAGGTTGCTCCAACCTGGCCTTGGACACTTCCAGGGATGGGGCAGCCACAAATGCTCTGGGAATTCCATCCCAGCCCCTCCTCACCCTCCCAAGGAGGAATTCCTTCCCAATATCCCATCTAACCTTGCCCTCTGGCAGTGGGAAGCCATTCCCTGTGTCACTATGCATTCCCAACTCTCCCAGCCTTTCTTTAGCCTCACACCAGGGGGGAGGTTTCTGCCCTGTTCAGGGTTTAGGGTGGTTTCTGCTTGTCAGACCCCAAAAGGACCCCCATAAAGCGTCGCTGTTCCCCTGGGAGCCTGTCCAGCAGCATCCCAACATTCCTGCTCTCCCTGTTCCTGCAGACACCATGGTGTGCACGGGCTGCTGCTCCTGCCTGGACCACATTGTCACTTATCTCTTCAAGCAACTGTCCCGCAGCACCAAGAAGAGAACGACCCCCCTGACCCAGGAGAGCGACCGCTTCCTGCACATCATGCAGCAGCACCCCGAGATGATCCAGCAGGTAATTCCCGGCCCCTGGAACCTCACCAGCTCCCTGAAGAGCCCTGAATGTTCCCAGCCTGATGTCACTGCTCTGCAGCCCCAGGGTTTTCTGGAATAAATAGGGTGGTTTTTATCTTTTTGCTGGCATTGCAACTGTCCCTCACGGTCCTCGTGGGATAGGGGTGATTCCCTGTGATTCCAAGCCCTGCTCCAGGGATGTGGTTGTCCTTGTGCAAGGAAACACCATTCTGGCCTTGCAGATTAGCCAAAAACGAGCTTTTGTCTTGAAGAGCAACACGGTTCAGGTGTTCTCCAGCCTCACTCACTGGGACCTGTCAAAGTGTCAGCACAACTCCCACATGGAAACAGGGAATATTGGGATATTGTTCCACCCTTGCTGGTGGATCAGGTGCCAAGCAAAGCAGGCTTTTTTAGGGGCTAGAAACTTTGGGAGCTGGGATGGGTGGGGCTGCTTTGAAACCCCCTTCCCTCTTGCAGATGCTCTCGACAGTGCTGAACATCATCATCTTCGAGGACTGCAGGAACCAGTGGTCCATGTCCAGGCCCCTGCTCGGCCTCATCCTGCTCAACGAGAAGGTAAGTGAGCCATCAACAGCCAGGAGGGATGTCAGGGCTTGGCTGGTGCTGAGGGAGCAGCAGATGGTTGGGAAGCCTTGGAGAGGCCGTGTGCCAAGGGAAGGGCATGCAGCCCTCCCTGCACACCCGTGGAGCTGAGGAATCCAATTCCCTTCCACTCGGAGTGCCCCGAAGAGCTGTAACCCGCTGCCTCCCCCTTCCCAAGAGCCCCAAAGCTGAGGCCACCTGGCAACTAACCCGTCCTTTTCCTGTCTTCCCAGTATTTCTCTGACCTGAGGAACAGCATAGTGAACAGCCAGCCCCCGGAGAAGCAGCAGGCCATGCACCTCTGCTTCGAGAACCTCATGGAGGGCATCGAACGCAACCTGCTGACCAAGAACAGGGACAGGTCAGTGTGGGGCCAGGGCTGGAGCCTCCTGGACACCACAGCCCTGGAGCAGCTTTTCCAGGACATTCCTCCCTGGAAAAGGGTTGCCCAGGGCAGTGGTGGAGTTACCATCCCTGGAGGGATTTGTGGCACCGCTGGGTTAAGGGTTGGACTCGGTGACCTTAGAGGGCTTTTTCAGCCTCAGTTCCACTTTAGGGAATCAAGAAGAGGGTTTTTTTTTTCCCCAGGCTGACCAGGCAGTGTTTAAATTAATTGGCAGTGGTTAATGATCCTTTTCTCAACTGGGTTCAAATAATCTGCACTGCTCAGGGTTATTAAATAGGGCAGCACCATCAACACAGAAATGCAGAGTGGCTTCAGCCTGCAGGCAGGAAGAGGGGTGGGTTTTCCACGTGCCCACCTCTCCCTTCAAACACCTCATCTCTCACTGCTTGGTTTGGACCTCTGGGCTGTAGGTCCCGTGGTTTTAATTAGTTCTCTCTGTAGGTTTAAGTTTCATCACGTTTATCGGTGCAGTTTCCTTCTTAGAAGCTCAGGGTGGAAATAAGTTGTTATGGAATAACTGCAGATACAGGATGAGTAGTTAGGCTGCCCTGGAAGTGCTGTAGCATCCAAAGGAGGGCACTGAGATGGGGAAGGGCCTTGAGAGGGGCTGTGTGAGGGTACTTTGTGTGTTCAGCTGGAGCAGAGGAGACTGAGGGGAGACCTCACTGCAGTTCCAGCTCCCTGGGCAGGGGCAGAGGAGGGGCAGGACTGAGCTCTGCTCTGGGGGGACCAGGGACAGCCCCCAGGGAATGGCTGGAGCTGTGTCAGGGCAGGCTCAGGGTGGATCTCAGCAAAAGGTTCTTCCCCCACAGGGTGGTTGGCACTGAACAGGCTCCCCAGGGCAGTGGGCACAGCCCCAAGGCTGCCAGAGCTGCAGGAGGGTTTGGATGATCCTCTTGGGCACAGGGTGGGACTTTTAGGGATAGTCCCATGCAGGGCTGAAGGTTGGACTGGCTGCTCCTCGTGGGTCCCTCCCAGCTCAGGCTGTTCCATGATTTGAGAGCTCAGGGAGCGTTTGGATGATCCTCTCAGGGCCGTGGTGGGATTTTGGGGTGTCCTGGGCAGGGATTGGACTCTCTGCTCCCTGGGGATCCCTCCCAGCTCCGAGCTGTGCTGGAGGAGGTCACTGACTGCCCTGCCTGCCCCTCCAGGTTCACCCAGAACCTGTCGGCGTTCCGGAGGGAGGTGAACGACTCCATGAAGAACTCGACCTACGGCGTGAACAGCAACGACATGATGAGCTGACACCTCCCACCTCCAGCTGTACAGAGCAGCATCTCCTTGGCCTGGCCCAGAGGGGTTTCTGATGGAAAGAAAAGAGGCCCTTCCTAAATCCCTGCCCTTCCCCAGGGCTGGATTGTGGATCCCACGTCCCCGAGGGTGGAAGGGGGGCAGGAGGTTTGAGCTCACCTGGGCAGGCGCTTCTGTTTTCCGTGGGGGGAAAAAGCAAAACGAAACACAAAACAACACAAAAACAAACAAACAAAAAAAAAGGGGGTGGAAGGGCATAATCCAGGTGCAAGAATCCGACGTCTCCCTCCCCGGATGTGGAAACGCCAGCGCTCTGCTGCAGCCTGCCTTGTATAAACATGTACATTTTTTCATAACATTTTGAACAAGGTTTATATTGACTCGAGTTTAAAAAAAAAAAAAAGGACAAAAAAAAAAAAAAGGAAAAAAAAAAAGAAAAACACACACACACAGAGAAAAAAAAAAAAAAACAGACACAAACAGAACAACAACAATGAAAAAAATACAGTGTGATTGAAATTTTTACAGAGTCCTGGTGCACCGGTGCTGGCGTGAGGGTTGTGTATGAGAGTGAGGAAAGCGTGGCCTGAAGCTTTACTGGGCGAGGGGGTGGCTGTGTGAAAGTGCAGAGATCTATTTAGTGACAGTAGAGAGAAGCAGGAAAAAAAAAAAAAAAAAAAAAATAAAATAAAAAAAACCACAACAAAACCCGACAAAAAAAAAAAAAAAAAAAGGCATTGTAAAATTCCAAAATGTATATTTTTTCTTATTAAGCCCCCCTCGAAAATCACAATTTTCCCGGTACCGTCTCGCCCTTGTTATTAGGAACTCGAAGCCATGGCGTGACCCTCCGTTCGTGCTTGCTCGTGGGTGTCTCTCCTGTCCCCCCCCCCTTTGGAGCAGTAGCCCCTGTCCCCTCCCAGGGCCCTCCCCTCCTCCTGCAGTTCTGTTTTTTATCCCTTTCCCCCCCACAGTTGGAGCAGGAGCTCACAGCAGCACAGGGGAGGCTTCTTAATAACAAGGTTTGCCCAGCATGAAGTATTGAACACCCCTGGGGAACGAGTCCAGTTCTTTTCTAAGTCACCACGATAAATGTTTTGGATATAAATTGATATGAGAATTGACTTAGCAGAGGAAAGCTGATGGGGGAGGGAACCTGTTTGCCTTGTATTTTCCCACTATTGTTGCTGCTAGTCGTGTGCATCCTCTTGCTCAGCTCTACCCACAGACACTCGGTCCTTAGGGCTTCAGTTTCTCTTCCCAGACACCACCTACTCTTTAATTTTATTTTCCTTCTTCTCCTCCCCTCTCCCTTTTTTTTTTTTTTTTGTTTGTTTTGGGGTTTTTTTTCTTTTTTTTTTTTTTTTTTTAAATATTTTGTTTTCTTTCCTCTGGCGATTGTGTGTTGGGTCCTTTTTCGCGTGAGCAGATGCTGGTTGACTTGTCAGGGTGTTTGCTGCAAACAGTGTAAGCATTGTGACTGCAAAATAAAACTTCAATGGTTTCTACTGACACGTGTCTGGCACCTTGAGTTCCCTCCCCTGCACCCCAAAAGCTCCTCCTGCATCCTGGTTTTTCCCCAAAACCCAAAGATGTACCAAAGAGCCCCAAGATCTTGCCCTGCACCCTGAGATCTTCACCTGCAGCCTGAGCTCCACCCCAAAACCCCAAGATCTCCTCCTGCCCCCAAAATGTCTCACTGTACCCTCAGCTCTCCCCCAGAACCTCAAGATCTCTCAGAGTTCTCCCTTTGCACCCCAAAATCTCTCCCTGCACCCTGAACTCTCCCCCTGCACCCTGAGCTCTCAGAACCCCAAAACCTCCCCTTGCACCCTCAGCTCTACCCCAAAACCCCAAGACCTCTCCCTGCGCCCCAAGACCTTCCCAGGACCCCAAAATCTCCCCTTGCCCCCTGAACTCTTTTCCCCTAGAACCCCAAGATCCCCCCAGCACCCCAAGCCCTCCCCCTGCCTGCTGCAGGGTGACTCTTCCCACTGAGATGTGTCCCCAAATCCCCCAAATCAGATGGAATTCAGGGGTGGGTGGTGGTGGATGGTACTTTGCCCTCGAGCGGCACCAGCAAAGCTCCGGCCAAAATCCACATGGATCTGGCCACAATTCTTGACGTTTCAGCCCATTTTGGGCAACAAGCCGTGCCCAGGTGGGGGTGCAGGGGAAGGGGGATCCTGGCACTGACACCAGCACAGGGATCAGTTTTTAAAAACATTTATTTACAGCCCGAGCGGGAGGAGCAGCCGAGGCAGGTCCAGCCCTGCTGCCCCCTCAACCCAGAGCGGGGCTGGGGGCTCCTGCCCCTCTCAGCTTGGCACCAGGTGAGTTTGCCCCGTCCTCAGCCCGATTTTGGCTCCTCACCCCTGTAAACGGCGTCATTCCACCCTTCCCTGTTCCGGGCGATCTCAATGGCAAAAAACTGGATCCTGGTGGCTGAAAAACAGGAGAGGAGGAAAAACCCTCCAGCCCAGACCCACCTGCAGGTTCGGCTTCCCCACAGCCCCCTCCTCCCTGCCCGCCCCCTCGTTTCCCGGGGGTCCCCCAGCCCGTTTCCCACCGAAGATGGTGTTTTCCTCGGTGTATTCCCGGCGGGAATCCAGGCGGAGCAGAGTCCCGTAGTTGAAGTCCTCCACCACCCCCTCGAACTTCAGGCAGAACGGGCGCCACTTCTGGGGGAGGTGACAGAAAGGGAAACCCCCTCAGCACCCTTGGGAGAGGGGGGATCCGTGTGTGTGACCCCCCCATCCCACTCCCCATCCCAGCTCCCACCCACCGCCTTGGCCGGCTCCGATTTCAGCTCCTCGGGGTCCAGCACGTCGATTTTCAGGTCCCGGAAGGTTTTCCTGAACTCCTCGTAGATCCGGTCGTCCACCTTGGTGAGGCTCAGGAATTTGGGGTCCACGGAGGAGATGAGCTGCGCAGGGAGGCCCAAGGGGTCGGACACGACCCCCTCCCAGGATCTCCCACCCTCCCCAGCACCGAGAGCCCCCCAGACTCACGTTGAAGTAGACCTGGGCGTGCTGATGGGCCTTCATGGCCCAGGCCAGCTCCACGCGGGGCTGCCGAGGGAAAAGAGGGGTCAGGAAGGGCTGTGCCCCCCTCGTGGGGGAACAAACCTCCCTTTGGGGGGTCCCTCCTCCCCTCTGGGGCACCCCCTCCCTGCTGGGGGTTGCTCTCCTCCCACTCAGGGGGTCTTTTGCTGCTCTCCGAGGGGCTCTGCTCCCCTTGGGGAGAAGGTTGGGACCCCCCGCTCCCCCTACCAGGGCTGGGATCCCCCAGGGCTGGGACACCCCAAGGATTGTGCCCTCCATGGGGTGGGATCCCCCCTCCCCTGCCAGGACCGGGATATCCCCTACCGCCGGTGATGGGAGCACCCCCAGGACTGTGACCCCCCAGGACTGTGATCCCCCCAGGACTGTGTCCCCCCCCAGGGCTGTGTCCCCCCCCCCAAAGGACAGGGACCCCCAAACTCACGTCGTTCCCAAACGCCTCCGCCGGCAGCGACAGCGCCTGAGCGGCCGCCGCGGCCTCGCCGGGGCCCTGCGGGGACACGGTGATGATGGACGGGGAGGGACACGGCCCCCCCACCATAGCACCACCCCCCCCGTGTCCCCTCCATGGCCCCCCGGGCGCCACCAGTGCCCCCCAGTCTCACCAGTCCCGCCAGTCCCGCCGCCGCCATCGCAGCGATGCCGGAAGAGGCAGCGCCGCCCCGCCCATGGGGGGACACCGGGGGGGGACACGAGGGACGGGGGGGACACCGGGGGGACATGGGGGGGACACGAGGGACGAGGGGAGACACGAGAGACAGGGGGGACACGAGGCGGGTGACACGATGGGTGGGAGGACACGAGGGGTGACACGATGGGTGGGAGGGCACGGGAGGGACACGATGGGTGGGAGGACACGAGGGGACACGGGGGGACACGCGGGGTGGGGCCCCGTGTCACGACCAGCAGGACACGGTGACCTGTGACACATCGCGGGGGATGGGGGGGGGACACACGCTCAGAGGGACCCCCACCCGCGTGGGGAGGAGGGGTTCCCCTGCTCATTAACACACCTGTGTAATTAACCCCAAGCCGCTGCTGATTAACGGGGGGCTTGGGTGGGTGGGGGTCCCTCTGCCTTTATAAGTGCCGGGTGGGTGGGTGGGGTGTTCGTGTCTTTGGGGACTTCACTTGGGCTGAGAATTCCCTTGAGTTTTTTTTATTATTATTATTATTTATTTTTGGGTGAGTGTCGCGGTGCAGTTTTGGGGAGGGGCTGCTGGGGGAGCACAGGGGGGCTGGGGAGGGGTCTTGCAGGCTGGGGGAGCGCTCCTGGGGGTCCCCACAGTGCTGTGTCCCCCTCCCCAGGCTGTGACACCCCAGAGCCATGTCCTTCGCGGAGAGCACGGACAGCACCTCCGAGAAACCCGTGTCCATCCTTTGGGGTAAGCACCGGGACTGCCCCCACCCCGAGGGGTTTGGGGCTGCTCTGTGCCCCCCGTGCCCCTACCCCACGGCTGTGCCCTGCTCTCTGCCCGCAGGGTGCGAGCTGAGCAGGCAGAAGGACTCCTACACCTTCCAGATGCCCGAGGAGTGGCACTGTGAGCAGCAGCTGGCCCTGCGCACGGTGGGTGACCCCAAAAACCCGGGAGGGCTGCCTGGGGGTCGTGGGAGGGCTGTGAGGGATCGTGGGGGGGTTCCCTGTGGTGGAGGCTGTGCCAGTCGAGGAGGGGGTCTTGCACCCTGATGCCCCTCAGCCCCCTCAAATCCTTGGAGGTCCTGGGTGAGGGGGACCTGCACGCCATGAGGGTCCTGGGTGGGGTTTTCTTCTCACCCTGCTCCAGGTCTGCCTGGGGGAGTCGGTGCCGGATGAGTTCCACGTGGTGGAGATGGTGGCAGAGGAGGGCGATGCCCAGACCCGGGTGCTCCTCGCCACGCTGAAGCCATCGGTGCTGCCCATGGTGAGTGCCCCGGGGAGGGGGGGGCTGCTGGCCCTGGGGAGGGGGCTGCTGGCCCTGGGGGGGGCTGCCAGGAGAGCTGCCATCCCCCCGTTTTGCAGACCACGCTGGTGGGAGTGGAGCTGACTCCCCCCATCACCTTCCACCTGAGAGCCGGCACCGGGCCCGTCTACATCACCGGCCAGCACATCACCAGTGAGTATTGGGGTCTCCCCCTGCCCTGGGACCCCCCCTCTCCTCGTGGAGGGGGCTCAGCCAGGCTCTCCTGCAGTGCTGAGCTCGGATGAGGAAGAGGAGTCAGAAGAAGAGGAAGAGGAGTCCCCTCAGAAGCCCCCCAAGGGCCAAAACTCCCGGAACACCGGCGGCGCTGCCAAGGTCAGCACCCCCTGGGGTGAGGGGTGAGGGGTGCACAGGGGTCCCTGTGCCATAGGAAAGGGGGGGCAGGGACCCCAAGCCCCCTCTGTTAAGGGGATGAGCTGTGACCTTCATCCCTCGTGGAGGAAGAGTCCCATCCTACATCTTCCTCTCTCTCTCCTAGAAGAGGAGGCTGGAGAAGGAGTACGAGCGGTGAGTATGATGGAGGGGGAAAAGCCCAGAGCAGGGGCTGCCCACCCTGCTGGGCCCCTGATCCCAGCCCTCCCTTCTCTCCCGAGCAGGAAAAGTGCCATCCCTGAGAAACCCCTCCCTGCCAAGGTAGGAGCTGGTTGGGGTGTCCCTCTGCATCCCCCCCCTCACCCCGTGGGTCAGCACAAGGACCTGGGGAAGGTGTGGTGGCCACCAGTGGCTGAACCCAAAACAGGGGGAGGAATGCAGAGCTGGGGGGGTTCCCTGGGCTTGGGGGGGGTCCTCTGCTCAGCCCTGTCCCCATCCCTGCAGGGCCGTGGAGCCGGGAGGGGCAGGAAAGCAGCGCCGAAGAAATGATGGGATGTGGGGCAGAGCCCGGCCAGGTATGGGAAGGGATGGAGGGTTTGAGGGAGGAGGTGGGTGCTCCCAGCTCGTGGCTGAGTGGGGCTGGGGAGGATTCATCCCCAAAGTGGGGTCATTCCGGGATCCCTGTGCCTCAGATCCTTCCTCCTTCCCTTCCAGGTGTGGGAGAGCCCCAGAGCAGCTCTGGTGGTTGTTGTCGTTCTTCAAATAAAGGATATTTCGCACTCCTGGCTCCCCGTGCTGGTGATGATGGGTGATGGGGGAGACTGTGGGAGAATTCTCCATCCTGGTTAGGGCTGTTGGGACCTGCTGGATGCCCTGGGGAGGGTCCCAACCCCCCCTGCCCGTGGGGTAATAAATGCTGCCTGTGAAGAGGAGACAAAGGGGGATTAGGGAGCAGCAGGGAGATGATTAGAACCCATTGACCTGCCCTTGGTCTTGCAGGCAGCTCCCAGGGGGCTGCTCTGTCCCGGCTTGGCTCCTGGGGGGAGCCTGGGGGGTTTCTGAGCCCCCCACCAAGGTGGCTTTAGGCTGCTCCAGGTGTGGGGCAGGAGGGGATGATGGTTTGGTGGTGGGGGGAAGCTGGGATGAGGCTGAGGAGCTGCTGGGAGGGGGAGGGGGGGGTGGTCTGTCCTCGAGGGCCACCCGCGGGAGGCTGTGACAGGCAGCCCTGTCCCTCCAGCCTTTCCTCGCCCCGCAGGGGCTGTTTGCACAGCGGGGCCCCCCCCGTGGTTGTGCTGACAGCTCCCGGGACCCTCTGCCCCAGCCCGGGGGGGCCACACCGGGGGTGATGATGGCTCCGTGCCCATCAATCATCCCCCACGGCCAGGGGGGTGCTGAGCCCCCAGGATTGGGGTGGAAGGGGATTTCGGAGCTTGGGGGGTTGCTGCGATTGTGCTTTTGGGGTTTGGGCTGAATTCCTGCCCCGGGAGGTGTGAAGGCAGCAGGAAAGGGGTCTAATTTGGGTTGTTCACACTGAATCAGCCCCCCACCCCACAGATGGGGGTGTGGGTACCCTGCTGCTCCCCATCCTGCCTTTCCCAAGAGGGTCTGGCACCCCTTGGCACTGACAGGGAGACTGAGGCACGAGCAGGAAGGCAAGTAAGTGGTTTCTGAACTAAACCCCTCACCCCCTGTGCTGCCCCTTGGGGACCCTCCTCTTCCCCCAGGGGTGTTGGATCCCCCCCAGGGGTTACCCCAGCTCCCTGCCGGGGCATTTACAGGGCACTTAACACCTCCTGGGACCAGCAAACGGCTCGTGGAGGGCTCCACACCCCTTTCTTCAGGAGGAGGTGAGACCTGCTGGGTCGGGGTGGGCTGAGGGTCCCCAGAGCCCCCCAGCACTAAAACAGCTGCTGGGCGATGCCCAGGCCCAGCCTGGTGACGGGGGGGGGGGCGGTGACAAAAAGCATCTCTCCCCCATGGCCTGGTACCCTCTCCACACCCCACAGCATCGTCTCCGTGGGGTGGGGGGTGATGGGGACCCCCAAGCAGGCCGAGCCCCCCACCCCCCGTTCCCCTCCCACTCCCCCATCCCACCCTCCTTCCCCCGGCGGAGCCTCTGCCTCCCGGGAGAGGTCCGGCCCCTCCTCGCGGGGCTCTCCCCCACCTTTAAAGGCTGCCCCTTCCTCCCTGGCCCAGCTCCAGGCCGGGCTCCATGGGTCGGGGGGCTGCGGGCGCTGCCCCGGGCGGCAGCAGCGGCCCCAGGACCGGAGGCTGATGGGGTGGGGGCGCAGGGGGCAGGATGGAGCTGGATGCCCCCGAGGCGTAGGACGGGCAGCCCCCAGGGCCGGAGGAGGAGGAGGAGAAGCCCCTGCCCCGGCTGCCTCCCCCATGCTCCGGCGCTGCCCCGGAGCCCTTGGCATCGCGCGTGGGAGCTCCGCACCCGCCTGTCCCCTCGGGCACCCCCCGAGGGGGGATCGGCCCGGCCGGGAGGGCGCAGGAGGACCCTCGGCTTCCCCTGCCCCGGCGGGGACCGCAGCGAGCCCGCCGTGGCACCGTCGGTGGCTCCCCGGGGCCGGGGGGCTTCGAGCAGCGCCATGCAGCCCCTCACCCTGCAGAACCTCTCCATGTAAGAGCCCCTCTGGCTGCCACCCCTCCACCCCGTTTGTTCTCAGCGTGCCCACTCCTCGGGAGGGGAAAACAACCCAAGGCCAACGAAACTCCTTGTTTTTCCCCTCTCCCCCTCTGTTTTTTATCCCGCAGATGTTTCCAGCTCCTCATGTTCTCCTGTCAGACACAGGTAGGTGGATGTGCTTTGCTAACCCCGGGCTGGGCGAAGGCGCCCGCTCTGTGACCCCCACCCTGAGCTGACCCTTCACTTCGAGGGGGATGCCCGTTGCCCTGGTGGGGGCTTTTCCAGGGCTGGAGCTCCAGGGCTGGAAGGATGGAGCTCCAGGGATGGAGCTCCGGGCAGGGAGGGATGTGGGGGGAGCTGTGTCCGCACCGGAGCTGCTCGTGCCCATCAGCACCAAACCTCGAGGGGCTGCAATTGGGGTTCAGCAGTGGGGATAACATTCCCCCCGGCTCCCTCTGGACCCTCCGGGGGGTGTGGATAAGGCTGGCAGGGATGCCATCCCGGGCAGGTGACGCGTTCCTTGCAGCCTTGCTCGGGCAGGGGGATGCGCTGGGTCCCTCAGCCGGGAGCTCCTGGGGCTGAGGCTGCTGCCGAGGGGGTTAACGGGGTCTGGACCCCCACCAGCGGGGGGGATGTGAGGTTTGACACCCCCTCTCCTCTCTCCCCCTTCCTCCCCGCACCCTCTGGGGCTGCACCGTCCCTTTTTGTGGCTTTAGAAAGGCAGTTCCTATTAAAATCCACTGTTCCATATCAGCACCCTCTGCTCCAGCGCCCGAACAAAACCCCCGGGGCTGCGGCCCCGCGGCATTAAAACATCCTCGGGACCTTTCTTCTTTCTTTTACCCCCCCTCCCCTCCCCTTCCCAAGGTAAATGCTTTTATTTCTTTGAAAATGAGAGGGGAAGGGAAGCGCCTTTGATGGAGAGGAGCCGGCCCCCCCCTCCCTTCCCCACATCCCATCCCACCTCCCCCGACAGCCCCAAAGGCTTTAAAGCAGATCCCGGCAGGAAATGAGTCCCTGGGCGAACACAAAGGTGGGCAGGGAGTTTGGGGAGGCGGGGGGGGGAGAAGACAGTGCCCCCCACCATCCCACTGCTCCGTGCAGGGCTGGACACGCCCCTGCCTTCCCAGGAAGGGTTTTCACAGCCTGGGAATGTGGGTGGTAGGTCCTGTGCACACACACAATCCCCCCAGGTGATGCTGTGCACCCCAAGCTGGGCAGTGGGACCCCAAATGTCCCCCTCTCTCCCAGCAGGAAATGTCCCCCCTGGAGTTCATCCCCTGCCCGCAGACCCTCCCAAGCTGGTTTTGGGGCTGGGGTCTCTCGGGTGCTGCCCTGAACCCCTCGTACACCAGGACTAAAATGAGTTCTCCTTTAGGATGTGTCTTGAGAGGGTCTGGCTGGAGTCCAGAGTGGGATGGGGGGGCTGCCCACCGCCCCTAATCCCCTTCCCCACCTGATCCCAAGCACACCTTGGCTGCTGCTCCGAGGGATCCAGGCTGATGGGAGCTTCCTATTCCCACACCCAGGGGAAAAAGATACCCATTCCCAGGCTCCCCCCCTGCTCCCCTTGCCATTCCCAAAGCGAATTGATTCTATTTTTCCCTTTGTAAACAAAGGGGGAGAACCAACCGTCTCCTAATTTTAACCAGTACGTGAGGGACCAGGGGGCCATGACGGACCAGCTGAGCCGGCGGCAGATCCGGGAATACCAACTCTACAGCCGGACCAGCGGGAAGCACGTGCAGGTCAACGGGAAGAGGATCACGGCCACCGCCGAGGACGGCAACAAATTCGGTGAGAGGGGCTGCTCTCCATCACCCCCCTGCCCCGGGGGGGGGGGTCACCCTGCTCATGGAGACATCCAGGGAATGTCTCTTCCACGTCTGTTCCAGCCCAGCTGGTTTTACACCCAAAAATTCCCTCCCCGAATGGCTCCAGTGAGAGCTCGGCTCCAAAGAGCCCTGACCTCAAAACTTCCAAAATCGTGGATTTCTCTGGCTCCATGCAGTATTTAATAAGCCCTGTATTTAGGGCTGGTGCTTTCTAATCTCTTCCTGGCATGAGACAGACAACTTTTCCTGGGGGAGAATCGCCTGATCCCGGCATCGTCCACCTCTTAGATATCCATGGACAGTGGGCAGAGCCCATCCCGGCCACACCACCTTTCCCATGGGATTCTCCAGCCCGGGCATCAGAGCCCCACAAACCCCCAGGCTGGAATCCCTCAGAACTTTGGGAAAGGCTTTTCCAAGTGAGGCTGAATCACCACCTTTCCAGGGCTTTCCCTGAGTTCTCCCAGCCTGATCCACCAGGGCCATGGGGCTTGGTGTCAATCCCAACCTCTGGAGCCGGGACTGTTGTGGATAAGGATAACTAACCTGGTGGGTTAATTATAATTAACCTGCTGGACTTGGTGTGCTCCTGGAGAACCCATGGAATCCGCACAATGTGGAAGCACCAGAGGGGGAGGGAGGGGCTGGTGCCTCTGGCAACCCCCACTTTGGCTCTGCTGGGTTTTAACAAAGCCCCCTTGGGTATCATAAACTGGGAGACTCCCTGCCCTCGAGAGGGGCAAGGAGAAGGTGATGGGGGTGGATTTGGGTGCTGGGGGGTGTCCCAGCCCCCATGGGACACGTCCCCCCCTCCTCCCAGCCAAGCTCATCGTGGAGACGGACACGTTCGGGAGCCGCGTGCGCATCAAGGGGGCCGAGAGCGAGAAGTACATCTGCATGAGCAAGAGGGGAAAGCTCATCGGGAAAGTGAGTCCTGGACCCCCCCTGTGGCCTCCCCCACGTGTCCCCCCAGTCCCTGGAGCTCAGCCTGGGAGCCCACTGGGTGATGGAGATGGGCTGGGAGGTGTCAGGGATGGTCCGGGGGGTGACAAAGATGAACGTGGGAGGTTCCAGGGGTGAGCTGGATGGTGACAAGGACAGTCTGGGGGGTGCCAGGGCTGCTTTGGGGAGTCCCAACATCTCTTGAGTCCCAGCCCCAAGCACCCCCTCCCCATCCCTGCAGACCCTCAGAGCCCTTCTCCTCCTCCTCCTCCTCCTCCCCTCTCCCGCAGCCCAACGGGAAGAGCAAGGACTGCATCTTCACCGAGATCGTGCTGGAGAACAACTACACGGCGTTCCAGAACGCGCGCTACGAGGGCTGGTACATGGCCTTCACCCGCCGGGGCCGCCCCCGCCGCGCCTCCCGCAGCCGCCAGAACCAGCGAGAGGCCCATTTCATCAAGCGCCTGTACCGGGGGCAGCTGCCCTTCCCCAACGCCGAGCGCCAGAAGCAGTTCGAGTTCGTGGGCTCGTCCTCGCCCACCCGCCGCTCCCGCCGCACCCGCGCCCCCCGCACGTAACGCCCGGACCCGCCCCCGGCACTCCCGGCACCGGGGCTTCCCTCTCTCCTGAAAACGCTGGATTTTTAGACGCCCCCTCGGGCGGGGAGAGCAGGGTTTGAGTGCAGTCACTGCTGTCTGCAGCCCCACACGGGGCTCCTGAATCCCTGGAGCATCCCACGGGATCCACATTCACCACTTTGGTGCCTTTGCCCCCTTTCTCTTCGCCAGCCCCTCGGGGACGTGTCCCTGTGCCACCAGGACACGTTCCTGTCCCCAGGGCACCACACTGGAGAGCTGGGGTGCCTGCCTGTCTGCCTGGGGACACAGACCCTGGGACCAGCACTTGTACCACGTTATTTATTGGAGGGGAAGGTCTGTGCCCTCTCCCAGTGCCACTGGGTGGGGTGGGTGAGTGGGGAACACTCGTGGGCGCCCACCAGGCCAAAGAGAAACCGCCTTTGGGTGATTTTTTTATTTTGCTATCGCTTATTTTTGCTTCTGTTTGTGTGTGTGTGTTGTTTTTACCACAGCCCCGCTGGTTGTGAGTCAGTTTTAGGCCTTGAACGATTTAGACTTTGGAGTTTCTTTGTGTAAAGGAGGAAACCCCGAGGCAAATAAAAGTGAGTGTGGAGACCCACGGGACCTGGGGGTGTTTTCCTTCCTGGGTCTGAGGCTTTGCCACGGGTGTTGTGCCTGCTGGGATGGGGGAACCCAATTACCCTGGGCAGAGGGAAGCTGGGGGAGGGTGCCAAGGGCAGAGGGAGAGGATGGAGGTGGCTGCAAAACGGGTCCCCCATCCCTGTCTGTGCCCCCCACTTGGTGTCCTGGAGGCGGCTGCTGCATCCTGGCGGACAGGGCAGCACTTGTGGTGTGGTACCCAGTGTGGTACCTGCTGTTCTCCCTCCCTGGGCATCACCCTTGGTGTGGGACCCTCTCTTCGTCACCAGGGCATCTTCTTCGGTGTGTTACCCAAACTGCTACCCACTGTTGTTCCCCTAAATCTGGCACCCACTAAGGGCATCGTTTTTGGAGTGGTACCCTCTGTTCTCCCCTTCCAAGGGCATCACCCTCATCCTGGTGCCCACAGAGTGTCACTCTTGTCATAGTCCCTGCTGTTCCCCTCGCCTGGCATCACCTTCTGGGTGGTACCCACTGTAGTAACCCCTGTTATCCCCCCAGGGTATCACCCTCAGCCTGGTGCCCCCTGTTCCCCCCAAGACCACCCCCCTCAGAGCGGGTCCCCAGCTTGGTCCCCCCTGTTCTCCCTGCTGGGGGCCACCACTCCAGCCCCCCCCAGGGCCGTGCCCCCTCCCCATAATTGCCTTGCTCTGTGACAATGCCCGGGGCGGTGGCAGCCGGACCCTGGGGGGGCCGTAATCCCTGAGCCGGGGCTCCCCCAGCCCCTACAAAGCCCCGCCAGCACAATGTGGGGGTGGGGGGAGAAAATTATAACAGTTTGAGTTAAATGAAGCTTTAAAGCAGGAGGGAAATGCAACACCCAGCAATTAGGGGCGAACAAAGCGCCCGGCGCCGCTGCCCAGGTGTGGCGGCCGGAATTAGCCGAGCGGCCACGGGGATTTCATTTTGTGTCCCCCCCCCCGCCCTCTCCCGTTTCCTTCGGCCCCACAGCCCCGGCTCCTTGTTCCTGCAGGAATTCGAGACGTTCTTGAAAGGAGAAGGCTTTGAGAAAGGAGCCGACTGGGTCCGGACCCTCCCTGCCCCCGCCGCCCCCTCCCCAATTTCGCCCAAGCTTCAAAGGTAGAGGAGTTCCCTTTGTGTAATCTCCGCTTTAATTTTCCCCCCTCCTCGTCCCTTTTCTTTTATTTTTTTTTTTTTAATTTTTTTTTCTCTCTTCTCCTTCCCAAGCCCTTCCTCTCTTTTCTTTCAGGGTTTTCCCCTTCCTCCCCTCTCTTTCTTCTCGACCTCCCGGGATAGAAAGGGCTCGGAAGGGTGAGTCCTTTTTAATTATGGCTGGGGAAGGAGGAAAAAAAAGAAAACCTCACACTGCTTCTTTCTTGTTTTTTGAGGTGAGACCTGGGGCGGGGGGTGGAGGTGGGGACGGGAATGTCCTCTGTGCAGAAAGTGCACTGGAGGGTGTCTCTCCCTGACACGCCGTGTCCAGCCTTTCCCAGGGCTTTGCTCTCCCGTGGGATGCTCGAGGGGCTGAGGATGCTGGAGGGGGCTGGGGGGGGCTGCCCAGCCAACAAGGACCACTCCCCAGAGCACCCACCTGGCTGCAGAGGTGAGGGGTGTCAGCCCCCCACCCCACTACCCCCCAAATCCCACGATCCTTGTGCCTGCCCCACGGGGTCCCAGCTGTGACAGAGGGGTCCCATGAGCTGGACTGGAGGTGTCTGTCCCCAGGTTGGGGCTGGTGTCCCCTGGGATGTGGGGAGCACCCAGAACAGCCCTTGTAGGGTGACTGCCCTTGCAAACCCAGGAGGTGGTGGTGGTGTGGGGGGGCTATAGGGCAATTTTGGGTCAGGCAGCTGCTTCACAGAGGGGCACAGGGGGCTGTGTCCCCCCTGGGAGTGTGGGAATGCTCCTGCAGGGCAGCAAGGCCGAAGGAGACTCCTGCACCCCCTCCATCCCTCACTGAACCCAAATGACGCTCCTGCACCCCCTCCATCCCTCCCTGAGTCCAGAGGCTGCTCCTATTCCCCCTCCACCGCCGGCTGAGGCCGAAGGATGCTCCTGCACATCCTCCGTGCTCCATCCCGCGGGCTGCGGCGGGAGGCGGTCGCTGTGGCAACGTGCCGTGCGGCGCAGGGGAGGGGATGCTCGGCGCACGGATGGCTCCCGGCGGACGGGCAGCGCTGCCCGCGGCGGGCCGTGGGCTCCCCTGAAGGTAGGGCCGCGCTCCCCGCGCCCCCACACCCCCTTTACCCCCCTCCCCAGCGGCATCCTCCTGCCTTAGGCCTGGCTTTGGGAGCGCCGCTTTGGGACCAGGGGTGACCCAGCGGGGCCGGGCGGGGGGGTTTGGCTTTGGGTGGGTGCGTGATCCGGTGCGCGCGGGATAAGTGCATTCCCAAACTCCTCCCTCCCTGCCTCCCTGTGGGCACCCCGGGGTGCGGGATTGGGGAGAGGGGGGGGTTGCCGAGCCCCCCGCGGGTGCCACGGCGGGTTCAGGCGGCCCCGGGCGCAGGTGGCGGCCGCCCGAGCAGCCGCTGCGATCGTCTTCATGCTTGAGAAACTGGGTTAGTGGTGGTGAAGGGGAGGGTGTGGAGGCGGCCACGGCCTCGATTATTCATGGGCACGGCCCCGGGGGGCGGCTGGGGCCGGCGGAGCCCCCTCAGCGCGGGGGTGCGGCGGCATCTCGGGCCGCGCGTGGATCGGCGAGCCGGGCTGGCCCTGGCGCCGAGGGACACGTGTGTGCCTCCCCCCGGGGGTGCATCCCCCCGGGTGTTCACCCCTGGGCGTGTATCCCCCCAGATGTGCATCCCTGAGTGTGTATCCCCCCCAGATGTGCGTCCCTGGGTGTGTTCCCGCCCTCTCAGGTGTGTCCATCCCCGCTGTGCATCCCCCTGGGTGTGCATCCCCCCGAGGGTGCTTCCCCCCACCCAGAGGTGCTTCCAGGGGGTCCGGCAGCCCTCCCCTGAGCCAGGACGGGAGCTGAGGTGGGGAATGGCAGGAGCAGAGCGCTGGGGATGGGACCCAGAGAGGGAGCTGCTGTCAGCAGGCTGCTCTTCCCACACAGAGCCGGGAATAGACGCTGGATCCCAGCGCTGCGGCACCAACGCAGCCCCGCCGCCCCCGGGGGAGGGGGGGTCCAGCCGTGGCACCGTTCCCGTGCCGGGTGCCTGGAGCCTCAGCCAGGCCCATGTTCCCCAGGGGCTCCAGGGGGATTAGAGATGGTCACAACCTCCTTGCCCTGCCCCAGCCCAGCCCTGCGGGCTCATCCCAAGGACAGGGGTTGTGCTCACGGGATGTACGGGGGCTCAGGATGTGCGGGGGGAGCATCAGCCCTCCCTGCCGGAGCCCAGGGCTTGATTTTGGCAGGTGCTCAGCATCTCCCGGCCCTCCCTGGGCTCCGCTGGCCCCGCGGATGGAGAAGATTTCCCCTCCCAGGGCAGCGGGGGGGTGGGCGCCGCCCTCGCAGCACCCCCAAACCCAGCCTGGGAGTCGGGTTGGATGCCAGGTGCACCCCAACACCCCCCCACAGCCTGCCGCAGCCCAGTGGGGTGCTCAGCTCCCCCGATCGGGGCTGGGGGTACCCAAACCCCGGCGAGGGGCTGGGGGGGGAAGCAGGGACTGCCGTGCCCAGTTGGCAGCAGGGGCTGCAGGGGGGTGCCGGGGGTCCGGGCTGCTCCTGGCAGCGGGGCAGGCCGGGTTATCGCTGTTTTCCTCCCTCTTTGTGCCGGGGAAGCGGGAGGAGCGGGAGCCAATAACTGCTTCGTCATGATGCCGGCTAATTCTCCTCTTGTTGGGAAAGGGACTGAGCCAGCAGCGAGCGAGGTGGGGAGAGGCGAGCGGCACCCACGCAACCCATCCACCCGCCCATCCATCCATCCACCCATCCATCCATCCATCCATCCATCCGCCCGTCCATCCACGCGCTCCTCCACCCCTCCACGCAGCCTCCCACGCACCCACCCCCGCCCACCCCGCCGCGGTTATCGGGCGGCGGGCGGCGGGGCTGGCGCTGGCAGATAGGCAGGCTCGTTCGCTCGCCCTCTCGCCCGCCCCGCCGTCACGCTCTCGGATGCGCCGCAGCCGCCGCAGCCCCGGTGGCCCACGCGCGATCGGGTGGCCGGGCGAGCAGAGCGAGCCGAGGGCGTCCCCCCGCAGCCCCCCGCGGCCGGAGGGATGCGGTGTCTCCGCGCGTAGGTGAGTGAGTGGGGGACACGGACGCGGGTGGGGGGGATGGTTCGCCGCGGCCGGTCTTTGCTTTCCGTCTCGGTTTTTTTTTTTTTTTTCGGTGCCGCCGCTCCCTCTTTCCCGGCTCTCCCGGGGGACCGGGGGGAGGGGGGCTGAAGGGAGCCCCCCCTGCCCTTGCCGAGGGGACAGGAAGGGCGGTG